GTCGTACACATTAAAAAAAAAGTTTTGAGTTGCTAATTACAATTTGTTTTTAGTAATAAAAAAAGGTTAATTTGACTCGTGCAGTTATTTTACTATACCCCAAAACGCAGAAATAAATTTTAATCAATTTAAACTAGTATTGAAGTAATATAATATATATTGATTTAATATAAATTGACATTGATACGTACATAGCAAAGAGCAAAACATAAAAATGCAATCAATAATTCAGGTAATAGTAGGGTTGTGGAATGAACCGCTCAAATTTTTTATGTCAAATGTCCGAAATAATTTTAAAAAAATTTGTTTATATTATATGTTATGTCGAAGTCGCGTGGTTCTGAGAACTAAATGGAGTGGATGTTTTTCTTGGAATTCCCCGAATCGCCACGAATCGCCAAGTATCACAATCGAGTATTCATTGAAAAGGGTTACAGGTAAATTCGACATCACAAACGCATAGTCATTTATTATAAAGATGACAATTGGTAGGAATTGTAGAGACAAGATGTTATTTAATTTTTTTTTATCGAACTTGACTAATAAATTGATTAGCCCCAACACCAGACACTAGCAACCTGCACAACATACAATTCGTAAATTAACAAACCATCCTTTGCAGTTATAAAAAGAATTGATAATTATGTTTTTCAATATTTCCGAAGATAAAAATTGTCTTTTATCTGTAAACATATGTTCAGAAATTGAAAAACTTCGCTAAGCATCTACAAAAGTATTTTGCTTTTGGAATTAGGTGTGTTAGTTTCAAAACGTTCACTGAAGAATATTCAAAAGAGCTTTAAATATGTACACCTAATCAATTTTCTTATATTTCCTGAAAAAATTTAAAAAAATTGCGAATAGCAAAATACCGATTTATTTCCTTTTACCGTTAATAATGCAACACATTGTAATATTTTATAATATTTATAAAATAATCCTGTGAAAATATCAATATAATATATATGCAATCGATGTAAATGCTTTATTTTGCCAGAAAAATCAACTTTGCTGATTATATATTTATATATAACTCCTTTATTGCTGCCAAATGGGGCACAAGAATTTACCATTAACAAAAAATATGTTTTCGTAGGTGAAACGGATACAAAAAACACCATTAAAATAGTAAAAGTATCACACGCCCACTTAGTGGCGGAGAAGGAAAAACGAATGTATGTGACAAAGAAAGGAATAATCACTACTATCCTTGTCAGTCTAAATAACATAACACTGCATTAATCACACGTCAAATACAGGGATAGCAAATAAATCGTGGATAACATAATAATAATAATTTCTACGTAACCCGAGAAAAGAGAGAAAAAAGAGTATATAAATTTCCATTTTATAAGTTGTACCTTATATCAAACAAAAATAATTACTCTTCCCACGAGAATCAAATATAAAGTAATAATATTTCATTGCATTTAGCACAGAATTACCTAGAAATTTTGTTGTTCAGGTAATAGTTTTTTTTACGTCATATATTAATCCCCATAGAATGACTACCCAGTGGACCTCTCTCCCTAGGACTTGTATGTGTTTAATGATAAATAACGCATAGTGGACATAGTCTGAAAGGGTTAGTGGTGTCATCCGTAGTGCTAAATATAACAAACATATCCCGACTATTATCTTAGTGAAGCTGCATCTGCTCAAACATTTTTGACAAAGTGGGTAAAATATTGATAAGGCGAAAACAGTATATTATCAGTGACACTTTAACAGCGTGTTGAGCAAGCTATAATTTTCCTAGATTCCTAGAGTTCCTAGATATTTTTCTATTTTCCGGTAGCTAGAATTTGTTTTCTGGTCTAAACACCATTTTTTTAAAGCGAAGAACAAGGTTAGGTTCCAAGATCTACAAATTGTTGCAAATAAGATGGCCGTTTTAATCCGTTCAAAACTCCTAGCTCGCTATCGCGGTTGATGCGTCGCGGCAATCGAACAATGCTTATTTATGGAAGCGACCTACTTTACCGATTCGCATCAAAACAGCGTTCTCTGTTGGAAATCGAACGAACCCGAGCCGTAGCCTCGATCCGAAACTATATTTAAAAAAAAGTATAACGAGAGCCGGTTTTATTGAACTTGGCCCGAATTATTGTCATCCATTTTCACTTTCAATTGTTTATTCGGTTTTACGTAATCGCCGCGATACGGTCCGGCGGCCCGACCCGTTTCTCTCTCGTTCTTTCCGTCACGATCGACTGGCGACGAGAGAGACGCGCATGCGCCTGTCGCATCCCATTGGTCGCGTTTTACTGTATAAACCGATTCCACGGACCTTGGTCACCGATAATTTTTTGTTGTTTCATCAAAATCGTACGACCAAAAGTATATTGTAAGTCCATCATGTGTCGGTATTTTAACCAAAATAGTGAGATGGATTACTTGATATTCGTTCTTGATCTTGTTTTAACGCATTTCTATCCGATTCTGCTAGCTTCGAATAAATATCATGTTCTTCCGTAAGATTTTTGTGTCCTTCATAGTTTTCTGATGCTTTGACTTTAATGTTCAATAGATCACATTTTTGACATGTGTCTTTGCGTAGTTGGAGGAAATTTAGATTAAAATCCTTTTTGAATATTTTTCTATAAGGTGAAGGTCATAAAAATTAACCATTTTTTTAATAGCCAGTTCAGGATGAAGATATTTTCTGCCCTGATTGGGGTCCCTACTATAATGGGATTCAAATTTCGGGAAACTGCTAATATGGTTTTGAACAATCATATTTGCTTCATCGCATATTTTTCTCGACGATCCAGGCAAACGCCCACGTAAATCGTTGCTAACGTTTTTAGATTTTCATGCACGTTTTAATCGTCCTTCGCTTATTTGAAAAGTATCTAAAAAGAATTTTTTACAAACAGCAACTTTCCCTGTTTTAGAATTTAACCAATACGTAAAACTCTCATTTCTACATACATCTTTTCCGTTTCTCTAATGTCTGCTTTTTACAATACTGCGTCCAGTCGCTTCGTATAGCAATATATTTTACTTAACAAAGGCTCCTAAGTTCCAAAACATTTCGAAAATAAATTTTCTTTCTGTTTCATTTAAATTTTTCAAGCAGACTTTTCGGCATTGGCAATTTTGAAAAACTTTGGCACGAATAATTTTTCCCTGAGTTCCGTTTAATTTTACGGACATAGGTCATTTTCAAAATTGTGATTTTTGAGTATTTATATTATTTTGAAAATGCACGTGATAATAAATTATAAATGTCAGAATTACCAACTTGATAAAAGATGAAAATGAACTTAAGCCACTTTCAAAATAAACGGCTCATATAGTTGCTGATATTCCGCATTGCTATCGTATTGATGCTTTGCTCTTCATTTGGTTTATCTGGCTGTTTTGCTGATTTGCTTGCTGGCGTAAGGATAATGTTATAAGATCTTCATATATCTAAATTAAAGTTAAGTTTATATGTATTATTTTCGACCCGTAACGGCGTCTCAACTCGTAGGATTGATTCTTGGTTTTGTTTGTATGGCGTCTTGTTGTCAATTATTCAACGTGGGTTAGAGATTCTGTCACCACTCGAGGAGCAACTGTTGCATAAACTACGCAACAATTTTGCTGACTGTCGAGCTTGAGAGAGTACATTAGATCAGTTCAGTGTCCAACCATTCCTGCAACTGTCTTCTTACTAGATACAGGAATGTCAACGAAATTAATTTAATCATCAACCAGATTTTGTGCTTGTTGTTCTTGTCTGGAAATTTTTGCTAAGCATTGTTAAGGTATTCAGTTTGACCAAGTCTTCACTTACTGATTGGTCAAATAAGGAACTTTGACTCTGTTTAACAAAAAAATGAGATTGTCCATCTTGCATCCTCTTGTACTTCAACAGATGTTGTTCCCCTAAGTGTCTGTCTGATCAATGCAAGACAGCGATTACTTAGGAGGGAAGAAAGACAGAATCAGTTGAATTTCGCATTTATTAATTTAACTAGTACGCCCATACTCAGAGATATAAAATATAATTTGCCAAGAGTAAGTATACGAGTAAACCATATTTAGTTTGTATTTACGATGAAACATCTTCATCATCAGAGACAAAATTTTAACTGCTACTACCAGAAAATGATCTTTCGTCTACATTAATAACAATAATATAATAAGAATATTCTTTTATTATATTTTCTCTGTGTTATACAACTGATCCAATTTTCTTTGGTCGCTGTTAAAAATATTTTGCACTGAGCCCACACCAATTTTATGGGCATTAAACATACAATGGTAAGGAGGCAAACTTGGTGACCCATTGCAGCAATTATTTCGTCGGTATCATACAGCAAGATCGTTTTGTAATTTTTTACAATTTTTAACAACTCACATTTTCTGAGTAGTTAATAATCCGATAATTGCTTCTTTTCTTGTCGATGCATTTGGTACACTTTCACCAAATCTAGAATGATCGATAATAATTAAAGAGGACCTTTCGCGTTTCACCAGCAGTTTTTCGAAAATGGGACCTTGTTTTGTGTAGTGGGAACTACTGTAAATAAAAATAGAACGGTGGGAGGTAAATGGGTGGATTTTGGAATCAAGTCAAATAGTGAGGCCCCTTCTCTCTGGGTTCAAATGTTCAACCAACATGACCTGCCATGTCAAATCTCGCTTCCAATCAATGAGACTTTTCGGTTTGGCTGTGAATTTTTTTCTGCATCGTTTCATTCATAATCATTCTAGCTTTACAACCACCTGAGGCGTATCAATGTTAGGATGTCAAGGACCTACATATTATCTAATAGATATATGACCCACTCCGGGATTTATTTCGTTTCAAATCCATAACAAACTGACTCGATGTTTTATTTGTGTAGATGCGTCATATCATCACCATCACGATCATCACCTACACGTCGCTTTTGAACAATGGGGGAGTGGTAGATAAATCCAAACCATCCAATAAACGTAAACGTATTGCATATTTTCCCGCACACGCACCATCGTCAGGCTCACCGTCCATTTTCCTTTTGCAGGTCGACGATCAGATGAAGCTGCTGCAGCACTCGTGGTCCGACATGCTGGTGCTCGACCACATCCACCAGCGGATGCACAACAATCTACCGGACGAGACCATACTCCACAACGGTCAAAAATTCGACCTGCTCAGTCTCGGTCTGCTGGGCGTGCCCAGCCTGGCCGAGCATTTTAATAATATTACGGCGAAACTGCAGGAATTGAAATTCGACGTCAGCGATTACATATGCGTCAAGTTTATGCTGTTGCTTAACCCAGGTAATTCGCATGATGCGCAGCAAAATGGGGAATACCGTTGTTCCGTTGCAGATGTCAGAGGCATCACAAACAGGAAACACGTCCAGGAAGGGTACGAGCAAGTGCAACAAGCTTTGCTCGAATATACTGTCACGTGTTATCCACAAGTGCAGGTACGGTATTTTAGTTAGCAGACAAGCTGAATTGTCCTGTCGGTCTCCACAAACAACATTTGGTGCTATCGATGCCTTAATTAAAAGCCTACCTGTAACCTGCCAAATAATTAAATACATGATCATACCTATTCTGTTTCTAGTTATGATGATGATGATGGCTAAGAATCTGTATTCTGTTTATCCATATTCAACAATCTCAAATATCAGTTAACAGAGCAATGTTAAATCTGATTGTGAGCTTGGCAATCACATTTTTACGCTAGTTGACAGTTATGAAATTTTCTTGAGTAATTTCGGGAGAAACAAAGGGACCATCAGAAATTTCTTCACCACGAGACACACATTCCCCTTCTTTTGTCGTTAAAAAAACCATTTCATTTCTTTATAAATCTGCGTTTCAATTTCTGGTCACGATTGTTATCCGATTACAGTAGGTGACCATTTAAATTTACCAACTAGTAAGCAGTAAGCAGAATTATTAAAGAAGTCAGTAATTTTTCATAGAAATTTCCACGGGGCACTCTTATACCATTTACAAATCTACTGCTGACGTTTCGCCAATCATCCTGCTTCTTCAGGGCTTATTTATAAATAGAATATAGAAGAGTTGCAAATAGTAAGTCAGGTTCACCAATGACTCCGATTTATTAAGTTTCCGAGCAATGTTCTCCTTTTCCCTTCTCTTCCATTAAACTTTTTTAGTTCCTCTTTTATCCAATCTAAAAATGCAGAACCTTGGAGCATATTTCGACAGAACCCATCTTATTTTTCTTACTGCTAGAAGAAAACAAAGAAAGGAACGTAGGACGGCAAAGGTTATGTTCAATGTAGTTTGCCACATTCTTCTTTTTTCGGCAATTTCATTAGCAATGTTGGTTAGGGTCTTGTTTCTGCTATTATTGTTAAGGCGACAGCTATCGTTTTAAGTCAGAACGATATTGTTATTTAACCATGATCGTAACAACGTAGAAACAAAGTTGCTCTCAATATTTGCGAATCCATAAAATAAGTATAAATTAATAAGATCCTGGCACCTTCGCCAAGAACATAAAAACTCACTACCATTAATATTTTTCAAATTTGTAAATTCTTATTTCGAGTTATATCATCACCTGGTGCTCTATGACGGATGTGTTCTGACACATTCAAGACAGAAACACCGAATAATAAAAATTGCAATGTAATATTTACGAAACACCGTATAATGACTCTGACGAAGTATATATAAAATAAACAACCCAATATGTGTATTTGGAATATAAATTAAACGTAACACTGTGTAGCTATAGTGCTTAAAGCAATATTAAGATACAATTAGTATAGTTTTCTAATATTAATGCCTTGTTCGGTCTCCTTCGAATATGACGTCACTGTTTCCTTCGCACCGATCGCCTAAAATAAATAAACTACCCGTGGATTGAATAAATAAAATTTGCGCAATTCGTTCGGAGGACTTGTTCTTTTTTTTATCTGTGCTCCTGCGTGTGGCGCGATGGCAATCCGAGCTCTTTCAACCGCGAATTCGAAATCTGATACTACGCTCTACACGCTGGCGAATTTGATTTGTTTCTTTCCCATTTCCTAATTCATCGATAAGGTTCTTAAGTCTTAACGAAGCAAAAAATAGTTTGAACGACGATATCAAGGCTGCCAAACTTCCAAATAACTCTCTAGAATGAAGAAGTAAGGAATAAATAACACTTGCCATGGTATGACGTCACATTTATCACAACTTTGAGTTACATTACGAATTAGCCCATTCAGACTTAACAACAACCTTCAGAACCACACCTAAAATAGTATGTCACATTTATAACAACTTTGATGGAGGTACAATACCAATTAGGCCATCCACACTTAACAACAACTTACGTTGACTAGAATCACTTTAATCCCATCCATGTAAAGAAAACTCCCACTTAAGACTGGCGAGACGGATCAGATAAACGCTTTTATTGCAATTTATTAATACTTAAGTAAAATTTGGCGTGTCTAATAAAAAACCCCTTATTCCTTAGGATAAATTCAGCAAGATGCAGGCGATCCTGCAGGAAATCCACAACCTGGCGGTCAGAGGGGAGGAACACCTCTACTTGAAGCACTGCTCCGGGTCGGCGCCCACGCAGACGCTGCTGATGGAGATGCTCCACGCCAAACGGAAATAACGGCCCCACGTGGCGAACCAGTCGTTACCATATCTGTGTGCAATAGCGCTTAACGATGTATATAGTACGCGTCAAATCTCATGCCGCTGACGGCACCTCTGGTCGCCGACAGGTCCCGCGGATGGACGGGCAGCAGAAACGATGCCTTCACACGAAGTACAAAGGCCCCCCCGCCCCTACTGGCACGGCATGATATCCGTCAAATGTTGTTCTTTGAGCGGCCACAGCATCTCGGCTCATATATTGATATATGGTGATGGTACCGTGTGGTAATGCGAACTGTTCTGACAATTCGACTTCGCTCTATTATTTTCATTTTGCCACAGTACAAAAATAAAACACCCATCTCCCCAGCCTCCTCTATTCGTCCACGAACTCGTCTCCTTCCGAAAACATACAAACGCTTCTCGAAAGAGTCCTCTGTTAAACAGCACCTCAGCTTGTCGGACTTGTGGCATGTCCACCAGAAATGCATGCGCTCAAGAGTTCCATTGCTCAATCCTTTCGAATACGTCTGGCTTCGCGGCAACTACTGATACCGCTAAGAGAACAGTTTTTATTACTCCCAACCTTTTTTTGTTACCGCAACCGGTGCCCATCCGTTTTGTGTTCTTTATATATTTTTGTCTATAGCGATACACATTCCATAATGTATTCCCCGTGGGATAAAAGGGCATCAGAGACTTTTTTTGTAAGGTTAGCTCGCGCGCATCAGTTTTCCCGTGCGCGATTGTTTTTTGTTTCGTTATTTTTTTTCCTAGGGTAGCTTAACAATTTTTCTTGGTGACGGACTAACAACTCGTAACTGTATTTGTAATTATAATGTTTATATATGATTTTTTTTCTGTATAGGTTAAGTTTTTGATTAAAGTATATTGCATATGTTATATATTATATATTCGTGTTGAGGTTAGTATAAGAGCGAGTACTGTGGTCCATTGTTTTTCTGTTTCCTTCTCTTACGAACGAGTTAAACAGTCGTCGCCGGTCGCCTCTTTGTTGGTTACTTTTAAGCAAACAAATCCCTTTTGTTCGGTAACTGAAAGATATATTTTTATATTAAAGATATAAGCGTTGGTTGAGCATTGAAATCGAACATCGAAATTGCTGTAGAATTGTTCAAAGCCGTACATGTGCCGCTATAAGGCGGGTCGAAAAAAATGAACGTTATTTTTGTCCTTAAACACAGAACATTCGTTTTCGGTCCACCTTATAAAAGCTATATTTTAATGTTTATAAAATTGTGATATGTAACTCGGATGTTAATAACGACATGTTGGCGTGCATATTTCAGGATAGAGAGTTTAAAACTTGTTATATTCTTCAAAAAAAAATGTACATAACTGTGGCTTTTTAGTGAGATACAACAGATGCATATATATATACATACCTATATATATTTTAAAGTGAGATTTCTTTATTTTTTCATACCGTCTAACTGTGATAAAAATTGCATAATTAAATTTAAGCAGAAAGTTATTTACGACACATCACAGAGGAAGCTATTTTTTTGACCATCACGACTATTTATTTGTTTGTAGGCTCTCGGTCGAAGTGATTTATAATGTATTCGTCTAAAAAATAATGGTGCTTAGCTATTCGTTTTTATGGATGTCGAGTCCAGTTGGGCGAAAAATGCAGACGAATTTTACAAATAAATAGGCTTTTGTCCGAAGAAATTTACCGGCAGCGCGACGATCAAAACTTTTAGTTTTATTTATTGGAACGTATTTTTTTACGGCACGGATAAAAGCTGGATAATATTTTTGCTAGTGCATTTTTCGGTTCAATCGGCTCTAGACAGGTCACAGCAAACTTGTATCACAATTTTATAGTTTTAACGTACTATACCGTTTAGTTTCTAGTAATGCTTACGATGTACGGTTCTTAACATGTAAATATTTTAATGATTATATATATTATATATAATATGTTGTTAAGTAGATTGTTAACTGTTGATATGTTTGCATAAATGTACCGTGAACCGACCGACTTGTTACAGGCAAGTAAGATTACGCGTTTAATGTTAAAAGTATTAACTTCTTCAATCGACTCGATTAAGTGTATTTTTTAGTATATCGAACCAAGACCCAAAGTCGTTTACGAATGCCATGAGATACCATTAATTTTCCTTTTTGTATAAAACCGCTTCGAGATAATATTATAGCGTTAATTTTCGTTAGTGTACAGGTTTCTTATTTCATTTTTAATTTAGTACTTGCCTTACACTCGCGGAAGGCCCAGAGAGAGAGAGAGAGAGAGAGAGAGAGAGAGCTTATTATCATGAAAATATACATATTTATATATAAATATATATATATATAAAAAAATATTACCATTATTTAAAGCAGTGTGATTGAAAGGTTGTAAATATAATTTATGTGGATCAAAGTGAAGTTTGTAGAATAAAGTCACCGCCAAATTATTTTGACTTTTTTTTTTTCATTTTGTGATATCTAGAACACTCCGTGGGGAGAGCAAAACCAGTTTCGTGGTTACAAATTTATATAACCTGAACAACTGGGTTGTCAATTAATATAATATGAACATTTTTGGAAAAACTTGTTCCCTAAACAATGTGGAAATTGCTAAACGCAGAGGAGTTGAAAATAAATGGAGCCAATCTATCGCCAATTATTTCCCCGTGATTCAGAAATGGAAGACAAAATCGAGACGGTAGCCTGGAATTTTATGAATTTTATTGGAACTGATTCCAATGCTTCCGTTAAAGTCCCGACAAACCAGAATTCTTGTTAAGGTGCCATGTCCATTTAGTGGATTTTGCCGACAATTCTGGCAAATTCCTCACAGTCCTGCGCAGCTCTGAAGAGTGAGTGAACATCCAGACTCTAATATTTTAAAGGCATGAATACTTTTTCCTTCCCATGCAGTGTATTCCTAAATCCATCCTGTTTGACTATATGACCCAGTTTCTCTATTATTTTGCGTCCTCATACGTCTCAGAACCTAAATGTTTGCTATATTGTCCACGACATTTTCAGAATAACCGCATTTCAAATGCTTCAAGTTTATTTATAGTATTATTAGCCTTAATTCTTGGATTATTTTTGTTAAACAGAAGTTGGGTTTACTTTTTCCAATGATTTAGCAATTTATCAGAGTCGACAATATTGTTTGGCCTACAAGATATTACAAATTTTTCCTTTACAAGTTTGGGCACATTAAAATGCTCATGCTGGTCAGTTCTAAGTCAGCTAGTTATTTCTTGATGAACTTCAGTTTTTATCTCGGCTTTTTAAATGTGGTCTATGCCATTTTTCTGTTTTCAGGCTTCACACTACTGGGTTATGCTCTGACCCAATGTTGGTACCATATAATCCGTTTCCATTTCTCTGGTTAATCCGTAAAAAATCTATTGGGTTTTTAACGGTATGACCTGGAGTGTTGACCGAATAATTAATACCCGTAATCCCCTAACTACAGAAACTTAGCCAAATTCCCTGCAACTGACTACCTAACACAACATTTTACTTAAAAGCAATTGGCGACGGTCCCGTAATTTGCATATTTAAAAACTTGTTTTAAACTAGAGTGTTCAAATTTGCGTAAAACGTAAAGAGAATTTTGTAGCGCTTTTGTATTCTGTACCTATCATGGGCTGTTAAACAGGGACCACAGACAACATCACAATATTTGATTCGATTTGATTTGAATTTATATACCGTTTGTTTTTTGACGCAGACACGACAAAAGAACTTTTGAAAATTGGGATATATAAATTGAGAATGGCAGAGGCTCCAAAATAGAACCCTGAGGGACTCCAGAGGAGATTTCTAGAGAACTTGCATACCGCTACCAAAAACCAGTTGATAAGATAATTTTTAATGAAGTTTCGTGCAAATATACCCAAACCAATGAGTTAAAAATCGATAAAAGCAGCAGGTGATTAATTGTATCGAACGGTTTGGAATAATCTAACTAAACTAACAGTCAACTTGCAGTTGTCCCAGGGCCTGAATATCGAGAACTAGGATTTTCTAGGATTATATTAAATTTATTTATATAGGTAACCAACTGTCTTTCAATTATTTTCTTCTTTGAAAACGTTGCTAGAATACTTACAGGCCGAACTATAGCAAGATTAATTGAATTGACAAAACGTGTCTTTATTTATTTGGCCCTTTGCAAACTTCTAAAAAACTGAAGAAAATGGACGAAAAAAAAAACAGCTTAATTGTTTGTTTTTTAAGTGTTTTTCTCTCCAGCGCGTACGAAGTTAAGTCATAATCCGGATAAACTCTCGATCGACCGGGATAATCGGTACCCTACTGTAAAAATGTGGGTACGTATTTGGTCTGCGCTCGGAGCCGCTTCGTACTTAAAATGATAACGCGACCGGGAGGAAGAAAAAAAGACAAAAAAGCGTTTTCTCATGTAAATCGCAAAGATCGGACGTTATTTTTTCTATATATAGTTTTCGGGGTTACTGGGTTCAATGTTTCCTTTTGGGTCGCCGGAATGTGATTTTATAAACCGGGCCTATTGGGCCAGAAGGGCAGTACGAATCGAGTCGGGCCGCTGTCATGATCTTTTTTTTGGTTTGTTTCGGGATTACCGTCGCTCTTTTGTTTTTCTCGTGCACGCTGAAACCGAAAAATTACCCGCCAGGTAAAAAGACATTTTTTTATTTTATTCTATGTCTTCAATTTAAATACAATTTTTTTCGGTAAAGCACATACGTTTAAGGAACGTATTTTCTACGTACCGACTAAATCTGAACTTCCTAGACCTATTTGAGACCTCAAGGTAATAAATTAATCCATTATCTCAGAAACAAACGGAATCTTATCATTTGTCGAAAGATCAATTTAATTTGATATAGACCTATAAAATTTTTAAAAAAAATTAGACACATATATACGGTTCTTGTTTTATGTTATATATATATGTATATATATATATATATATATATATATATATATATATATATATATATATATATATATATATATATATATATATATATATATATATATATATATATATATATATATATATATATATATATATATATATATATATATATATACTGTGCATACAGTTTTTGAGCCTGAGGGTTTCAAACAACAATTTATTATAGTCGGAAATATGCCTAATTGTGACAAATAAGAGGTTGCTAATTGACAGTGGCATTTTCACTATATGGAGTTCACGTTACCTGGACGATATTAAGGCAACATTCCTTGCAAAAGTTTTAATTTCGTTTTTAAAGGTACCAATATATTTAAAATTGTATCATTTTGCTCGGCATCGTTTAACGCTTTTCGAAATAACCTTCGATCAGTTGAAAAACCAACATTTTTAACTAGCAGTGACGGATATTTCACATAACCTTCAATAACAATCCGAGATCTATTTTTTTCAAAACTCTGTTGTCGAATATATTGAACAAACAAGTATGCACCAATGATTGCCTGTTTAGCTCAAAATATATAATAAAATTGTTACTTTGAAACCATCCCTACTCTCAGTACTCTAACTTATTTAAGCGACGCTTTCGCTATTCTCAAACCATTACTACCAATACTATCACGTATTCGTGTTCTATTTTTTCTATAACCCACGCGCAGAAACTCCATATTTTATCCCGTCCTGTATATTGCAAGGATGTTTTGGCAACAGCGCGACCATTACGTAATTATTTATATCGAAAGATTAGTTCCTCTAATTGATGATAAACAAAGTCAATGAACTAAATCTAAAATCAAATGATAAAATGAAAAATTCTAATGCTAAACACTTTTCTACTACTGGCGAGCCAGGATACAGTTCATTCACGATCATAAATATTAATCAAAAATGGCCGGGGTACAATTTGCAGGTGTCTCACGTCTCAAGAACGTGTCGTTACCAATTATAAACACTAAGAATGTTATTTTAGTTGATCCAAGTATCTGCCATCTTAAGTTCTTAAGTTTACTGATCTTGCGTTTAAGAGTAATATTAATCTAGGTCCATCAAGACTACCGCTGATAGGAAACCTCCTGGACTACAAACAACAACACGATGCCGTGCGATATCATCATCTCGTGTGGACCGAACTGTCGAAAGCATACGGCCCTGTGATAGGCCTGAAGTTAGGTATTATTATCGATACCAATTAAGTAGCTTTCTATTTCTAGCTCCCGATAAAATGTATAGTGTATTTAGATTATCAAAAAAACAGAAATAATTTGACACGACCAGCTTGTAATGACCTAAACCAAAAAGCTGAATATACTAGAAGTATTTATTTCAAAAGAATGATGTATGGGCGTGTTTCGGTTTTTGCTGACGTTTCGCCAATCATCCTGTTGGCTTCTTCAGAGTTTGACTGAAACTGACTCGCATTTTACTCTATACCTGCTTATATATCGTTTGAGGTGGGCGGGTCTAAATGAGGGGCATAAACATCGTCTCGGATGACTGTGGCAAGTGTAGGATTGCTTTCGGCCTCGTTGCTATTGGAAGGTGGTGATGAAGTGTATTTTTTGATGGCACGCTTAATATCTTTAATGTGGAGATTATTAGAGAGAAGAGCAGACGTTAGGCGTTTTAATTATGGGTTCAGTGACTTAAGGTATCGGTCTATCTGCGTAGGTTTTCTGTAAACGCAATGACCCAATGTTAGGTCTGATTTTCTGCTGATAGAATATCTAAGAATGGAAGGTTATTGTTAGTTTCCAACTCAATGGTATTAGGGTTTCTTGACCATGAGGCCAAATAACAAAAGTATCATCGACGTACCGTTTCCATAATTTTGGTTTTAGATGAAAGGTGTCGAGAGCTCAATTAGCTTCGCCCTCCTCAAACAATATATAAGCAGGTACAGAGTAAAGTGCGAGTCATTTTCCATCAAGCTCTGAAGAACCCAACGTCAGAAAGTTCGACTCAGCAAAAACCGGTCTAGGAGGAATCCAGAAGTATCGTAAAAAGTATTACAGTAGCCTGTGGCCACTGCTCCTCACTAAAAAACTTGAAAAATCTTTCCTGCCACGCAAATCGAGCACTTATTGTATAACCAGAGTGGAGACATTTCTTCATACTCTAACAACGATTTTTTAAGAATTTTTCTATGAAGTTCATCAACTTCTCTTTGGTAAGCGCTATTCTAGATGAAATTGATGTTTTTCGAAAAAACTTACGCACATTCACGTGGATTTTCTAAGTCGCCTTTGACCAAAAAGAGTTTCGAACGTTGCACAAAGATGATAGCGTCATTCCCACAAAAATTTTTAAAATGTTAACGAAACATTCATAATTACCATTTTTGAGGCATCAAAAGTTATTTATTAGCAAAACATATTTTTAAATGATTTTAAGCGATTTGAGTACAGTGATAGGAAATTTCTACTGAGATTTTTTTTAGACAGTGTTTACTGTGACCTGTTCCTAACCCTGCACATCAGAATCTACAGTGATTTCACTAGGTTTCCATTGCAGGTGTTGCTTATTAAGTAATCTAAACTCCATATCGAACCACGAAAAAATAAATATTATTTATTGGTTCAACTCCTTTCACAGTTAAAATGACTTCCACTGCTTTTCACTGAATATCCTTAATTTGGGAAAATCATCATAATCACCACCAGAGTGCGACATTGCTTCACACTCTGACTCTGAACTGTTAAGATCTTATCAATAAAATTTATTAACTTTTCTGTGGTCTGCGCTATTGCGTACAAAATTGGTGCTTTTAGGCAAATACTAAATTTAGAATCCCTTTCAAAACAGTTTTGGTTAATTGCCACCACCAAGCTGTTGTTGGAATTTGTTATATCATTAAAAAGTATTTTAAATAATTTTAAACGGTTTGGGTACTCTGATAAGAAGTTTCTACTTAGAGATCTTCGTTTTGGACATTCCTGCAGCTCGCAGGAATATAAAACCGTCGTTTTCCAAGGATTCAAAAACTTAAATAGTATATTACGAACAAAAATATAGTGCATTTAGTGCTTTGGCGTTTTAAGAATTTTAAAGCACCTTAACGGCAGGACCGTGGTAAAACGCATCCCAACAGATGTTGTTGTTGCCAAAACTATCGCCAAATACTGTTATTGTGTTGGATAATGCCTCGTACCATTCGGCAAAATTTAGAAAAATTCAAAATACGTTTCTAAATAAAGAAGAAATTAAAGAGAGATTCGTGAAAAAACAACTTTTTGAATTATTATTAAAAACAAAAGATTTTAACAAAGACTACAAAATCTATTCGATAGCACAACATGAAATCTGGAGATTACCCGATTGAGATGATTTGGTCCGAGTTGAAAGCGCATATAAGAAGAAATAATAGTGCACCAATATTTAGTGATGGTACCCAAAAAGAAATTCGGCCATATGTAGCTAAAATATCAGTACAAAGATGGCCTAACTGCGAAAAACTAGTAATAAAAGAAGAAAATATTTATCGAGAACGATTAGTGGCCGAGACAGTAGCGATAGTGCTGATTATTATAGTTATATTTAATATTTTGTATAATAATGGGATTATGTAGAAATGTAACGAAATAGATCGTAACAAATTGTTACTTTGAAATATATTTTTTTTATGTTCCGGCTTGTTAGTAGTTGTTAGCAGTAGGCAAAGTTAATCATGGGGTCGGTTGTGAAAGCACTATATTTCTGGTCGAAGTATACCTATGGTATTGACAAACGAAATATAGCTGTCAATTTTCCGAAAAATAAAAAGTAAACTGAGAAAATCATTTCGCAAATTTTCGCCACAAATCCCGTCTCCTTTTCTGCCGTTCTGAGGTAAGTAACATAATCCGTAAATTAACTAACCTCGCTTGAGCCCGATGAAAGTTAAAGTTTAGGAAATCCTACAACACTAAGATACTCGAAATATACGTCACATTTTGTAGAATCATAAATATAGGATACATCATACCGACACCCGTTGTCTTTTTTTCTGATCTCGAAAGGGCGCCACCTAGTGGTAGGCGTGTGCGGCGCGGAGGCGGTTCGGGAGGTTATGACGCGTGAGGAATTCGAAGGAAGGCCCGACGGCTTTTTCTTCCGCCTGAGAACGTTCGGACAAAAATTCGGCAAGTCTCTCGTACCGTTCTGATCCGAGATTATTTCAATTTCGGTATATCAGGGGTCGTGTTCACGGACGGGCCGCTGTGGAGGAAACACCGGAAATTCTGTACGCAACACCTCCGCAACTTGGGCTACGGCCGCTGCGAAATGGAAGAAAAGATCTACAGGGAATCGAGGGAATTGGTGGACCTGTTGAAAGAGCGCGGATCCGAGTCCATGTTCATGCAAGACGTGTTTAATGTACCCGTGACGAACGTATTGTGGACTATGATCGCCGGTAAGTTTTCCCGATATTAAAAACCGACTTCGAGTTGTTTTTATATGGTCGTTGACTAATCCGGCACCTCCGCCAATAATAAGAAACATTATTTTTTGAAATTAAGCATATTTTTCACAAAACCTAAACACTAAAATTCAACACATTAAACTAATGATATCAAAAGAGCTCAGAAGATGTAAATTGGCCATATATAATAAACCTGTAGAGTAGATCATGAGTTTTAATTACAAAGGCAGCCTTGATAGCAGGTAATGCTATCAAGGCTGCGAGATGTAATATGGCGAAACAAAAATATGACGATAGAAGGTGAAACTTGCATACATAACACCTGTGTGAGACCCGTGATGACATACTCTGTAGAAACAAGGGCGAAAAACTCGACAACAAAAAGAAACAGCCAAGATGAGAACTCTAAGATCTATAACAAGCTTCACACTAAGGGACCGCAAAAGAAGCGAAAACATCAGAGAACTTCGAGTCCTTGATATTGTACGATATCGTACGATGGTCCCGAAACAGAAGGGGCGAATGGAGAGATCATGTTCAACGGATGACTGACCACATACTGCCGAAAGTTGCAAGAGATGGTCTTCCAAGATCGAGCAGACCTCTTGAACGTCCCGCCATAAGATGGCATGAGAGCTGAAGCTCGTCTTCCCAGCTACGTTTCCGACTACAGAGTACGACGCAACAGCCTTGTAAAAAGAAGAAGAAGAAGCAGAACAAAGAGAAACACATTTTTCGACTTTGTTCGTCCGAATCCAGGAATCACTAGACTTGTCGCCCACAAATTGTAATACTATATACTATTAACTGATAGCAAAGAGCAATTTTCTCATTCTAATTGGTGTTACATCATTTTCAAATCAAACACCAATAAGTAGTGGGAAAAAACGATATCGATATCGAATATCGAAAATGTGAATGAAGCAGTTTGGTTCTTTCATCAGTTAATTATGTTTTAGGCCAAAGGTTTAACCTGAAGGACGAAAAGTTGGGAGAGCTCTTACGACTGGTGAAAGATTGCTTCCGATTGGTCGACATGTCCGGGGGTCTCATCAACCAGCTGCCCTTCCTCCGATACATAATGCCGAATGGTTGCGGTTACACCGCGATAATGCACAACCTGAAGGAAATGTGGAGGTTCTTGGAGGTACACATTTTAAAATTTAGTTATCGGAAATAATCTAAACGTTTTTTTTTTTTAGGAAACCATAAAGGAGCACAAAGAAAGTAAGGACGAGACGCAATTGAAGAATTTTATAGACGTATTTTTACATTCAATGCAACTGAAAGTGGATCCTACATTTACGGGTAAGTTCGATTCGCTAGTTTTGGTTAGTTTACAACTATAAAAAAAAACTGGAAGAAAACTAAATATCAGTGTTCTAGATTTTAAAACTTATTTATATGTATTTGTTTTTATATTTGTCTAACATTTTTTTGTTCGATATTTCTTAGAATATGTAGACGTAGTAGAATGGGACTTTAATCAATCAAATTTTCAAAAGGTGTAATTAAAGGAAAATAAAATAAAGAAAAAATTATCTATTAAACATTTCAAAAATATAAATATAATGAACATGCATATGTAAAAATATAAAGATAATACATATTTAGGGTTCAATACTGACAACGGATATTATCAACTTTTTGGGCAACCTGTGCGCTTATAAGTATGTTTGTAATAATAAGAAATTGTTGTTAGTGCTGTTTTTTTTCAAAGAAACTTCCACAGGCTACCGTAATACTATTTACTAATCTACTGGATTCCTATGGGTTTCGTTTTGCCAATCACACTGGCTTCTTCAGAGCTCAGGTTTTTAGAGTCTACGTTCAAGCCCCTCCTTTAGCTCCGCCTCCCTCAAACATATGTAAGCAGGTACAGAGTAGAGCCAGTTTTACTTTAAGCTCTGAGGAAGCCAGCAGGATAATTGCGGGACGTCGGCACGTTTGATTTGCTAGTGCTATTTACCCATATGCTCTCTAGGTTCTCTAGTGTTGTGGCACAGTTTGTTGATTTTTGCAAATAGAATTATTTGATCATAAATTTGGAAAGAACAGTTGCGATCGAATTCACTGGTCAGTATGTTAAACCTCTGACTAACCTAGCGTTCAGCTTTGCGGGTTCACGCGTGGAATTAAACCACACAACAAAGTTTCTCGGATCTTACATCGATGCCTTCCTAAAGTGGGACTACGACATAGATAGTGTTTGTAATAAACTGAACAAAACGTTTTTTGCAATGTTAACAATCAGAGATTCTTTCTTTGAAAGATCCTTGTTGACTTTCTATTACGCCTCAGCATACTCGTCTATTTGATATAATATCGTAAACTGGGGAAAAGCGAGTGATGCGCAGAGGGTGATCATTCAGCAAAAAAGGATACTTAGGTTGATTTTCAGACTGCCCCCGCAAAGATACATTTATAAAGCATAAAATACTAACAGTGCCTTGCATATATTTATTTAAATTATTCATCACCGTTTATAAAAATAAAGGCTCTCACAAGAAACATACGGATGTCCACGGTTATAACACCCGAAACAGAGAACACCTTCTAAAGCCAAGACTGAACCACATGTTCTACAAAAAGTCGCTAAATTACGCAGGACCTTATTACAATAATTTGCTTCCTACAAGCACAAAAGCGTTATCTACAAGACAATTTAAAAAGTGCATCGGAAAGCTTTTGTCAACCAATGCTTTCTACGACCTGAAAGAATTTGAAACATATATTACAGGAGTGCCCTGATGAGTTTAGTGATATTTTCTCTACATTTTGTCAATATGTTTGTACTGTTTGTATATCCGTTTGTAACTCTTCTATACTGTACTGTTAAATGTGTGTTATCGTATTGTTTATATACATAATTCCATGTATCTTTATACTACTCTATAATGTACTCGTTTCCTGACGAAACATCTACTGGGCTTTGTGAATAAAACTATCTATCTATCTATCTATTAATCCACAGGTGTACTTGGTTTACATATCAAGTACGATTAATAATTATAATATAAAAATTATTAGTTGGTTTTAGCAGAGCTACAGTCGTAGCCCAGTTTACGTCAAATTCAGGATGAGTTGAAGAATAATAAGAGCCCTATAATGTTATTTTTGGTATTTAATGTCGATCAAATCACTGAATACTCCTAATAAGATCCACCTTCAGTTTTAGTTTTAAACCTTCGAAAAGATTTTTTTAAATAAAATATTTCTTATGTTTAAATAACCAAAATAAAAAACGGCTCTTTTATTAAGCAATAGGTATGAGGTCCGAGTGGTATCTCTTTTGTCCATTTGTATGCGTATATATATGACACAAGCAATACCGGTCGAACTATGAATAATTATTATGTGCTTATATGCCCAATTTTCAGAAAATCAGCTCATGGCCGTATGCCTGGACTTGTTTATGGCGGGTTCGGAAACTACAAGCAACAGTTTAGGTCAGTTATGATATCGTGTTTCTACGATGACTTAAGTTAAGGGAAATTGTTCTAGGATTTTCGGTACTTTACATGATACTGTACCCCGAGGTACAAAAAAAGGTGCAAGAAGAACTCGATCGAGTCGTAGGGAGAGACAGATGGCCTACGTTAAAAGACAAGGACGAGTAAAAACCGCCGACTTATTTCCATTTATGAAAACAAACGGGCACGTTTCAGGTTGAAGTACACCAAGGCGGTGTTGTTCGAGATTCAACGGATAACCTCCGTTGGTCCGATGGGCGTGGCGCATAGGGCGATCGAATCCACCACGTTGTTCGGTTACAACATCCCGAAGGATACGATAGTCCTTACGAATATTTACAGCGTTCACACGGAGGAAAGCTTTTGGAAAGACCCCTTGGCGTTCAAACCAGAACGATTTCTAGATAAGGACGGCAACGTTGTCGTCGACGAAGGACATTTTATGCCCTTCGGAGTAGGTAGGTATTAGGAAATGAAGATACGGCGACATCGGCGAACTTAACAGTTGTTTATGACAGTATCTTGTGTGGGCTTGACTTTTTTGAAATCGATCTGACCCTCAAATAAGTTATCGAAACTTAACTGTAACTCCCTATACCTTCTTTATGGTTCCGTTTATATACACTATAACTTTTAAAAGGCTTGAGATAGCGATTTAAAATTTGGAAGGGTTAATATTGGCTGAATGTCCAATTTTTTGACAATATGTAGTCAATGGTTGCACTTCCGGTTCGAGCGGAAACGACAATAACTTTCGAAGTTCTAGGTAAGGACTATTTTCTCTCTTTTTTTTTTAATTTTTATTTAATTTTTTAAAATTCTAAGAGGCTGTGACTATCATAAATACTATTTACCGGGTCACCTGATCATGTGAAAAATTGTAAATGAAAATGGCATTTAATGTCACATTAGTTTTTTCAAGCAGTGGGAACAAAGACTTTTAAAAACATTGCAACACCAAAATGTTTAAAATCCGTTAAAAAATAATCTCACAGGAAGGCAAAAACCAGATAAGCGAACACATTTTTATAAAAACAAAATGTTGCAAAAAAAGTAACGGTTTTAAAAAGTGTTTGTTCCCACTAGGGTGCTATTTAAAAAAACTCGGTTATCCTAAAAGAATAATAGTTCACTACATTAAATGCTATTTGCCATTAGACAAGTAAAGAAAACTTCCATTTACCATTTATGATGGTCACAGCCTCCTGGACACAATTTTCAAAAATTCAAAAAAAGATAAAAATCGTCCATTCTGAATCCAAATATGGAAAAACCCGAAAGTTACTGTGGTTTCCGCTCAAACAGGAAGTAACTACATATTGCCAAAAAATTGAGCATTCAGCCGATATTAACCCTTCCAAATTTCAAATCGTTATCTTAAGTCGTTTAAAAGTTATAGAGTGCTCCCCCTTTTTTGTGTCACCCGGTATATTGACCTTTCAACTGCCTTTTTCAAACCTAATGTAAAACCTCCTTCCTGAAAGACTCATTGATAAGAAAGCTAGCTAGCAAATGCAAACGTTTCTCAGCACAGAACATGGCATTCCTGCATAACCTGCTGAGTGTTTCCTTGTTACCCTTTTATTTATACCTGAATATACATGAATATTTGACATTGACGTTGACATCTGTTAAATACATCGAATTTGTGACTAGATTTTGTGTTTACATTTTTTTTATCATGTCAAACTATTAGAAGCGACTATTTAATACTCCCTTCAGTCAAACGATTGTTATTGTATTATTTTAGCATTGCCAATGGTTTGTTTGTGCTTTTTAAGACGCTGATTAGTTGGCATTACTACAAATCCCATTAGTTAAGCAAGGTTTTTCTGGGAGACATTTTTTAAAAATATTTTTTTAGCTCTAGAGGAAAACCTTCGTTTATATTACTATTGAATTCCTGCATAAAAATATCAAAATTTCCACTTGTATTTTCTCCATCATTCAAAATAATTAATACACAACTGCCTAAGGCATTTGATTATTTTTTAAAGTTTCTTTTTAAAAGAAAAATATTATCAATTAGTGTTTTAGATTTACGAACTGCACTAGATTCTTAGATATTTGACTCCATAGTTTCTTAGCAAGTTTATCAAATCTTTAGTATTGGGATCGTTGATTTGAAGATCAAAATTAAAATTAAAGTGCCCACATATTGCAGACAGGTTTTTGTCTGAAAATTGTCTAAAAATATGTTTAAATTGACTTTCATAATATTAACAGTTTCTGAGGGGCTACGATATAGCAAAGAAATCATGATGGATCTGCACTTATTTGTGAAACATAATTAAAATTAATAATAATAAAGGTTACTAATCAATCCGAGTTAGTTAGCATTTAGTTTTATATCGTTTGTTTACAAAAAAAAAGCAACAGTCAACAAACAGTAAACCACTTTTTGTCTGTATTAATGAAAGACAGAGACAAATGCACAAAATGCACATTAAAAGGGAAACAAGGAAGGAAGACTAAAGAAGAAAGTGATTAGGGTAAGTTTTATAAGTTAAGTTAAGTTTTATAAGCATGATTTTTTAAAGCAGCTATTTGAATTTGCATTTTTGATTTGGGCACACCTGCCACTATATGTTCTTTTTTCTTATATTGTCAAGTCGGTTAAAAAGTTTATACAAGTTTACTTTTATACCATTTTTTTTTTTAAATTAAACAGCTATAAATATTATTCCAAAAAAAATTTTTTTTCAGGTAAACGGAGGTGTCTGGGCGAAATCCTAGCGAAATCGAGCATGTTTATTTTTTTCACCACCTTTTTGCACAATTTCACGCTGGAGGCCGACAAGGAATTTTACCCCGTGGCGGAAGGGTTCGACGGGGTGACTTTGTCGCCCAAACCTTTCAAGGCCAGGCTGGTTTTCCGAAAAGGTCCCGTCAAATAGCGCAAAATCCCTTCGCGGGACTCCGGAAAATGTCCAATGGTCATCAATAAATCGTGTTTTACGCTACTAGATTTATAATTGAAACCACATCTCCTCGAATGAATAAAAAAAAATGCAAAACCGGGACTGAAAACGAATCAGGCCCTAATTATGTCGTTAACCTCTGATAAGCGATTGTAACTCAGCTTTATTGTGTCTATAACGACCCAACAGCGAGTCCCAGTCCCAGTTGAACGTGAACTGTGGACGATGGACAATGATTTTTTTATTAATTTTGACGGTCCTATCGGTTTCGGCGATATACTTCGCCGCGAGTGCGTCGAGAACACCCAAAAACTTTCCGCCAGGTACGCAATAATTTGCTGAGGCAGTCTAATATTATAAGTAAACGGCCATTTGCGATATTTTAATTAGAGAAGATTTTTACGGCACGAGATCTAATCCATGCCAGTAAGTAGTTTCAGCTAAATTTTCTCAGGCTTTCAACGAAGTGGGGCGTCGTCGGGATTTTTTTTTTTGGCAAAAAATTAAAGGGTAATGTTGTAAAAATTTTTTCAAAAAGTTCATATAGGTATAGTTACGGAACTACTTCTTATATGAAATATAATATGCATTTATACGGGGTGTTACAGAACAAACGCTGCAGGAAAAGTTCATACAATTGTTGGTACGAATATGAAAGTGACACAAAACTAGTTGCTAGTTACCTCCAAATCGTACCTACTTTCCGTGAGCTTTTAATATCAATTATAGTTTTGCATTTTCGATTTAGTTTCATATATAAATAATCGACTCGTATCACCAACAGATCGTTAAGTCAATTTTATTGATAAGTTTTATAGGAAATTGAAGTTTTCCGATAAATCGAACCACATCAAAGATTTTCAAGGTCAAAAATTGAAAAATTATAAGAAAAATAACTTTTTGTTCTGAATTTTGTTATTTACTGCTCTACAAAAAAAGGTTTATGGATTACTCTAACCATTTTGACGTATAGTAATGGGTACTTTACTAATACTATATTCGTAGTTTTGAATAAATATTTCTATCTATTTCAGAAAAAAAAGTACTTTATTAACAGAAAAAAATTCTGTTCCACCATATGAAATTTTATACCTTAATACAGCACCAATAGAAAAATTTACATTTTTTTAGATTTCGTTATACAAATCGCCTTTTGTTACAGTCAGGAAATAGTCCTCGATGTTCTTTGACAACTTACAGCAAGTTCTGCTCAAGTGTTCTTCGTTTTTCGTCAAACACTGACTCTATTCATAGACCAACTTGCTTGAATTACTCTTCATTTTCCTTATAACTGTCATCTGAAGCGCACCATGCACTGTCAACATCTGGAAATCATATGGTAGGCCGAAGATTTTGGACAAATTCAATGAATTTTGAGAAATGAAGTCACTCAAACCTTTTTGAATAATCGAATTGATGTTCTTTTGATCGATATCAAATTTTTTAACCCTAGAATTTATATCATCACGAATATCGTTGAAATGGTTCGATTTGTCAAAAAAGTATATGAGACCGTTGTTGTAAAGCGTTCAGTTTCCCATAAAAATTATCAATAAAATTGGCTTAATGATCTATTCGTGCAGTATATCTTATTTATTGCAAGTTATATTTGAAAAAAACATAATGGTGCCTTTGTTATGAGTTGGAGTCTTCTTTATGTACTTTTCAGAAGAAAACTCTCGGATTAATGTCAGTCAGAGATAGAGACAGCGGCAGAGACATATAAGAAAAAATTCGAGAGTTATTTAATCAAAGTAAAACCAATAATTCATCCATCCTAAAATTTTTAATGTATCTAATGGTGTAATTAAAATAATGCAAACAAACGGGGAAGTAATGTGTATATATGGTTGCATACTAGCCTTTTATAGCTTTTCACAAATTTTCCTCGGAAAAAATAAAAATATCGTACACTCAATGCGCGGGAGAACTTTATACAGGGCCTTTTCTGGGTTCATTTTAAAAAGAAAACTTCAAACTTTTGCGATATTGGGTGGAACATTTTTAAAAAATAAAAAATATTTTTTTAATATCTGTAAAACTAATTTGGCATGCGCGTGCTGTGTCTCAAGAGGCATTATTTAGTGTTAGTATTAAAATTTTTAATTATAATAATAATATTTTATGTGATTTAAAATGGGCCGAGTGAATTATGAAATTAAGTGATTAAAAAATTAGTTTTAATTATTATTTAAATATAATTTGAAAATGATATTGGCGTTGATGCTTATTGGACTTTTTTCGCTACATCTAATGGCAAAGAGCGTGCGATGGCTTAGCAGGGAGTGTAAAAAGATAAGCTTATCGTGCTGGTCACCAACGTGATAAAAACAACCACATAACAACCCCACTTTCCTTTGTTCAGTGAGCCCAAAATTCTTTAAAAAAAAATACCGACTACGATTCGAAAGCTTAATTACAATAAAAACCATTGTAAAATTTTTCACTAGAATGCAGGCTCGTTTCAGAGCATGAAAAGTATTTATTTAAAAAAAAAATAAGTTAATAAAAATAACTAAAAATAACTGACGACAAATTTACAATTTCATTATTTAAGCTTTTTTGTTTTTTTCATTAAGTTATGATTGTTAATATTGTTAAAAAAATAAAATGTTATTAATAATATTTATAAGAAAATAATATAAATAATATAATAATATTTTGTATTATTTTAAATTATTACTGATAAAACCTTCAAAGCAGTTTGAGACGCAGCGCGGCGCTTCCACACACATAAAAAAAACATGATTTTTTTACCAAGAAATCAGTTGAATTTTCATTTCTTAACTTGAAAGTTAGTTAACAATACGAAAATTAACAAATAACTTTAATAATATATTCTTAAAGTATAAACATTTGACCATGGATGTTGAAAATTTCCTGAATGTATCTTGACTTTTAATCCATTTTTTAATTAAATGTGCTTAAAATTTTTATTATAAAAAAAAATTGTTAAAATCAAAATTTTAAAATATCGTTTGAGGGATGAATTTTCCATCATAAGTAGTAATAAAAAATATAAATATTTTAATTTTTTATGATCAAGTGGTAAATGGGGGATCCACTTGACGGATAACTGCCATTCATTTATATTTAATCAAATAGGTCTGTAGATTTAATGGATCTAATTATAAAGAAATTGTTCTGGCTCTATTTAAAATAACATTATTGTTCATAATTTTTCATACCATAAAAATGCAAATTTACATTGAATTTCTCTTATCTGTACATATACAAAATACAATATGCTTAAAAAGATGGTCCTTAACATATAATGAAAAATATATAACCGAAAGATAGTACATTAGACCACTAAGCGGTTACTTTTGCGTTTTTTTAAACTATTGAATCACCCTGTATACACAGCATTCTTTTAGGTCCGAAACCGCGGCTAATGGTCGGATATCTACCGCAACTTAGGGCTCTGTCTAAGCGTCTTGGAGGGCAGCACCTAGCGCTGACCCAACTGAGCAGGAAATATAACACGAATGTGTTGGGCTTGAAACTGGGCAACGAATTGGTGGTATGCGTCTCTTCCCTCAGAACCATTAAGGCGGTACTGACAGGCGCCGAATATGAGGGCAGACCGGACAACTTTTTTTTTAGATTACGCTCCATGGGTACCAGAAAAGGTATGTTTGTAAATTAAAAAGAAAACTTACTTTAACCCATTTTGTCCCGGTGGTGCGTTAATGCACTTATAAATGACCAAAACAATGACGCGATTATTAGCCTATGCTTATAATGGGAGAACAGTGTACAGGCCCGAGAATAGAACCCTGGGGAACACAGCAAGCTATAGGTTATCTGTGATACAAAACTTTGTTATTGCAAGTCTAGACAAGTCAGCGCATGTAGAATTAGCATGTTCTTTAGTATTAGTTTGTGCCTTGTGCAGTGAACGTTACAGTTCGTAAAATATGGCATTTCCGAGGTATTTGACTCAAAAGGAATTAGAGGCGGCTCTGGAGGAGACCGTGATGGATGAGGACAATAACAATGAAATTTTTAAGTATTATTTAGATTTACGTATTCTTATGTATTTTAGCATTCCATTCCCTGTAAATTAATGCTAAAAATAACGTAAACAAATATTTACAGAACATATTGACACGGTCTATATTCCACCCGCCGTGGATACCTTAACTGACGAAGAAGATATGAACGCTAACATAAATCTACAAGAGTCCTTAAATTCATCAACTACTGAACTTGAATGGGACTTATCAGATGATGAAACCCCGGAATTCAAAAGAATACATATGCTTTCTGCAAACGACAGGCTTGCTTCTACTGTCAAATGGAAGAAAGTTCAGATTGAGTACACTCACACACCTATATCCGATGAATTTAGACCCTGTGAGGAATTAAAAAATAGGATTTCTGGAAAAACTCCGATTGAAATATTTTATATGTTATTTGATGACGAAGTGATTGACTTGATTTTAAATCTTACATTGCTTTGCGACTTTTAAAAACTGATAAAACAAATACTCAAAGAAATCTTGCACCTGCCATAGATGAAGTGCGTTATGATAATCAAGGTCACCTCATGATTGTTCATGCTAATAAAGCCCGAAGGAGATGTAGAATCTGCCACACATTTACCTCTTATGTGCCCCAAATTATTGAATCTTTTTTCCCAATGGTTCATTTACGCACCAGTATTTTTTTGTATGTTTCGATTTTTTTTTGACACATGTAATGTATTTTTAAGGGCAACAAAATAGATAATTTCAGAGCAAAAAATTATTTTTTTTATGCTTGGGATAATATGGGTTAAGTTAATCATGAACTTATAGGTTTAACGAAAACTTAAGAGTACGAAATCATATACTTTTTCAGGTATAACTGGTACAGACGGACCTCTGTGGAAACAGCAAAGGTGTTTCGTTGTAACTCATTTGCGAGCACTTGGGTACGGAAAAAGACCCATGGAGCTACTGATTAAAGACGAAGTTGTAGAAATTTTATCAAAGCTGTCTAATGGTGACGATGACGTTGACGTAGACGCCATACTAGCTCCGGCGATTTTGAACGTTTTATGGACTCTTACGACGGGTATTTAACTAATAGAACACTGCGCATGGGGTTTCTAACTACAAAAAGCAAAAAAACGTCTCTCACGAGCACTTGCCGATTAGCAAACATTTTTCTCGTTTTCTTATGACGTATTTTAGTTGGTTCTGCATCGAACCTTGGATGGAACACATAAAAACTGCAAAAACGATTTTCAATAGTCTTAATAAGTGACACTAGATGGGGTGGCGTTGCAACGTGCATTTATCCATTATCAAAACAAATTTGCGAATTACCAACGATGCATATAAAATCTAAATCAGAAATTGCAATTTGCCAATTGCTTGCAACTAATGCGAGTCGTGCAACTAAAGTTTTTGAGCGTTATGACGCAATCTTAACTTTAAACTGATTTTCTATAAATCGAATTATTAACATAACTTTCGACTTACCTGAAATTGTTTAACCGGGCACAACACACAATCACCAACTACAAAGAGCTTGGTAAACAACAGAAAACTACGAAGAGAAGCCAACGATTCATATGAAAAACATTGGTCGGTTCGCGGCCCCCTATCGCGAGTTTTCTAAAATACTTACAAAACGGAGTGAAAGATGGCGCTGCGCGAAAATGAAATTGTCAATTTGAAGTTTACAAAATATGAGTTCGCTCTTTTTGTTGCTGGACGTTGTTTGTAACTAAAACGTTACTTTAGCTTACACTTTTCAGGGTCAAGATTTACAGATGACGCGCAGCTAAACGAACTACTGGCTCTGTTAAAACTGAGAGCCCGCGCTTTTGACATGTCGGGAGGCCTAATAGCCTATTATCCCTGGTTGCGACACGTGATACCCGAACGAATCGGTTTCAATTTGTTGCGGAAGCTAAACACTAAGCTGAAAGAAGTCATAACGCAGACCATAAACGATCACAAAGCAAAATGGAGTGACGGAAACTACGACGACCTTATCTACGCGTTTCTCACCGAAATGAAAAAAAACCAAGCGGATGGAACTTATTTTACTGGTGACCACCAAGCGTTCTTATCTTAAGTGCAGTCTAAAAGGCGTCCTGCCTGATGGCGTCATTATTATTATATTATTTGCTTGCTTCGGAAAATTCTTGCCTTTAAAGCCAATTTATTATAAAAAAGGGCATGAGCTTTGAAAAAGTTTTAAAATCTTGTCGTTTTATGCGCGTTTGAATCTCCCTCGAGAACATAATTTTCACAAACAATAAAAAAGTTAATTCAATTTGAATAAAAAAAATTGCAGATGATCAATTGGTTATGGTGTGTTTGGACATGTTTATTGCCGGGTCGCAGACTACAAGCGGCACACTAAGTTTCGCTTTCCGAATGATGATACTTTACCCTGACGTTCAACGACGGGTCCACGAATGCATCGACGAGACGTGGGGCGCCTCTGGGGAAATATATTATGGTGATAAACACAGGTGCTCCGACGGTGTTGGTAGCGCCGACATTTTCATTTGTCTTGGGTTCTAGAGCAAGTTATGTGGAAGCAGTTTTGTTAGAAGTGCAGAGGTATTGCACGGTGGTGCCCATTTCCGGACCCAGAAGGGTATTAAGGAAAACATATTTGGAGGGCTATACAATTCCAAAGGTAAAGCGGGGTTATAAAATTGTTGTTTATTTTTTTAGGTTAAGTTTTTATTGTTTACCTAATATTAAAAATAATGCAATTGAAATTATTTTTAAACGAAATTGAGTAAATTTAAATAGCGCAAATCTTCATGCATTTTAGAACACCACTGTTTTAATAAATCTTCATTCACTCCACAACGACAAATCGCAGTGGCGACACCCGGAAAAATTTCTTCCCGACAGGTTTTTAGACGAAGAAGGCAATTTGCTGTCCCACGAGGGGTTGATTCCCTTTGGTTTAGGTACAAATTTATAGCGTCACTGTCTCAAATATACAAGTTATTGTTTCCAGGTCGACGAAAATGTCTGGGTGACTCTTTGGCCAAGACATGTATATTTATAATATTTGCGGAAGTGTTGAGGAGGTATAGCGTCGAGGCATGCGCTCCTTCTACCGGAAAAACCGTATTCGGGCTCACGGCGGCACCCGAAAAGTACAAAGCGAAATTCACGCCCAGATTTAAGTAGTATTTTTTTGTAAAATATTTAAAGCAAGCAAAAAATAAATACATACTCAACGAAATAAATGAATTTTTATTGTCTCGCTCGTGCCACATAAAAAATGCTCTTTCGCTTTTTCTCAGCGGCAGTTTCTGATGGTCCACTTATTGTCTGATCCAGTGGCGTGGCCGAAATATGAATCATATACCCTGTGACAAGGAAACTACTATCCATGGCGGCCTTTCAAAAAGGCTTGAGATAGAAATGTGCAATTTGGTACATTGATACGGTTGAAACATTGTAAACATTTTTACAATTGGATTGCAAAGTTTGTTATTTTAAATAGAACCCTGTATATTTTTAATTTTTTGAACTCTTAAACTGTTGTGCAAAAAATTACCAGTACGAGGTATGCGGAGTAAGTAAAATGATTTCTTCCTGCGTGTGACTGTCATCCGATGAGGTGGTAGACAAGTAAATAACAATTAAAGCGTGGCTTTTTAACGAAATGTTTCCGAGTTCGCGGCTAATGGCTTTTAGCCATATTTTTGAATATACTGAAAAGTTAAAAAATGTTATTCCAATAATAGTTAATCATTTAAAATTAACCTTTTGAAGTAATAGATTGTGTAATTCTTGTAAAAAAATATGCATTTTCGTAATATTTTATATATTTTTCGGAAACTCATTTGTCTGATTTAGAGACATCCTGCAACATCAACCCGACACTGGCGCCCCGCGGAAAAATAAAATCGCCGAAGAATCAATCGCAAAATATTATTTATTCGTGTAAGTTTTATAATTCGATAAAAGCGTGGTGTATATATCCGGTATAGCCTTATAAAAATATACATAAAATTCATCACTATCTAATCGCCAAAGCTGCATCCTCATCTCTCTACACATTCGATAAGGCACACGGTTGCCGTAAAATTACAAAAAATAGTCCGGGCTCCTCTATGGTAACGATACGATCGAAACCAAACTGATCCGGTTTCGGATATCACAACGTTCGATCCGGTACTAAAAGAAATACCCCGTCGCCGCTTCGCGTGCTTCAGGTGCCGTGATCGAACTCCCTGTAGCCCTCCGCCCCTGTGAAAATTACGTCCACCCATATCCTCATGGACTCCGGAGACGGGGCCATCAGATAATAGAACCTCTCGTGGGTCTTGACGACGAACGTCAACTGCGGATTCGGAGACTTGATGCTGTTCAAGTGGTCCAAGTAGACCTCTTCTATTGCCTGCACGGACATATAACACACCATGGATATATAATCCGAGGTAGATAGCATAGCCCTTCTATTAGTTGAAAATCTTTCAGCCATGTTTTTCGGACACTTTACAAATTTGCAAGCGGCTAGTTCTTTATAGCCACTGATTGCTGTTAGAAGTAAGTTAACTTTGGCAAAATTTTGAAACAAACCAGAATTAATGGCAAGGGACATTGCGAATTGGAGCATCATATATACAGGGTAAATCATAAATAATGGGGCAATCTCTAAACTGGTGGTACTACACACGAAAATATTATGACGGAGCTCAACGTGGCTCAGCGCCCGGCTCGATGTTTAATTTAGTTCTGATTTTTTCATTAAATGATAAAGGTTCCCCCATATTATTTACGTAAATCAAATCATATTTTTTTCTGGTTGAAACACGATGGAAATCTGAAACAATTTTCATATTTCATGAATTATTATAATTTAAAAATTATAATTTAAAAAGTTGAAATAATTTTTTCTCAACACGTAAAAGACGCAAAGGGAGCAATATTTAACAATAATAATTATAATAATATTAATTGAACAAAAATTTCAAATAAAATGTTAGGATTTCATAATACTTCCAGCATTGATGGTGAGATTCACAATGTCCCTTATGACTGAAATCCCGACTTATTCTTCAAAAAGTGACCTAATTAAACTAAAACATATATTTAAATTTCATGGTGGTCATGAACTGACTATCAGGAAAAATTCAAGATATCAACTTAATAAAGATCCTACGTCATCTGTTGAAATTTGTTATTAAGGCTATTTCTCTATCAGAATCCAAATCGCTCTTCACGACTCTAAAATTCCTCGTCTCTACGGAGTCCATAAGATTCACAAACCAGAATTACCGCTTCTATATTAAAAACCTTCACTTATAATAATTATTTTATTTTTATTTTGTGATTTGGCCTCATGGTCAAGAATCCCTCCAAGATTTTCTGAGCAATTATACTTTATCTTCTCTACACTCTAAGATTAGTTTCTATAAAAACTAATAATAATCTCCCATTCTTAGCAATGGGTCATTCTGTTTACAGAAACACAGACACAAAGACATCCATTGTCATATCCACCATTCGGTCCAAAAATCATGGGTTCGTTGTTGTTCTCTCTTTCTCTCTAATAGGGGTTAGGGGTATTAAAAAGGGGTTCAAAATACACTTCCAAAGACAATGAGTCCTAAAGCAACCTCACACTTGCCACCGTTGTCATTTACATTCAAAACATCACTAACCACATATCAAAAGTCCTAAAAAACATAACGTTTAAACCCGATCTGAAAATCTCTCAAGATCTTTGATCCCTCAAAGACAAAATTCCGTTTGAGATACCAGAGTTTACAGCATTCCTTTCATATGTGGCAAAGAATATATTGGAGAGCCAGGACGAAAAATATCAACTAGGCTCAAAGAACATGAAAGAGCTTTAACACAATCACCAAATCTGATTCGATAAAGTTCTTGCAAGTAATAAATTCTTCCACCAAAGACAATTCCAAGAATACAAAAAAATCTATAAGCAACCAAACAATGGACACAGGACGTGGTGATAAACTAACAACTAGGTCGCTTTATTTCCATCACAGTCCACCATCGTCGTAATTGAACCCTATTATGAGCTTGAGTTGATAAAAAGTGTGCGAAAGTTACATATTGCCGTTTTTTTAAACATGGTGGGTAGTGCGCTGAGCGTACTACTAAAAGGGCTATTGTTTTCATTTTAATGTGATATAAATATGATCATACAATATTCCTATTGCTTGACATTGCCGTTTGGGCAGTTGTTATTAAAATTATATCGTTCATTATACTTATTCAAAGGAATATTGTATGCATTTTGCGCTACTGTGGTGACGCAAAAAATAATTTACCTGAAAGTAGGCGCCGCCCCTGGTTTTCTTCTCGCTTTTGTCTGAGTAATACGTGAGCGTGTGCTTGCTGCGGTCGAAAACGAACCACCTGCGGGACCAGCCGTTCAGTTTCGAGCCCTTTTTGTGCAGGAACCCCCTGCAGCTGGTGGAGGTGATGGTGACGTGGGGACACAGCACCACCTGATGGCCTGAAAGCGAATTTAGAAACTTTACCTTAACGGTAACAGTTAATTTGATAGAAGATCATAGTTAATTTTTTACGCTATCCCAGAGAGAAACTATACAAGAATTAGGGTCAAAGTACGTCATTAAAAAATGAATCAACAGCATAATTTCAAAGCCCTAGTTAATTTGTACAACTTCTCTTGTGGTTTGTACATTTGTACATGACGGTAAATGTTCAATAGTTTGTAAACATACCGGGTTAGTGAGAAGTACCGGGATGCTTAAATATCTCCAAAAGTGTCAAAGTTGGAACAATTAAATTCAATATCTGGGGATTTTTGAATATGCAAAATTCAAAAACGCTTTTTTCACTATTTAATTAACTACATGTTTGTAAATAGTACTGAGATGATGTATTTTCAAAATGATTCACTAGACGTTCCATGAATCTCAAGGTAGATGGTTCAGAAGTCATATAAATTCAAAACCCAAAATTCGTTAAATTTCAAAGACCAAAAATTAAAAAGTGGTCACCTGTTTTTAGTGTGATCATAGAAAGAAGAATTTATTTTTATTTATTTATTTATTTATTTAAATTTAAAAAATGGACGTGACATTTAGTTAATTCATTGTAGATTCTCCTTGAATTACGAATTATATATATTATATAAAAAATATGATGAAATATGTCTATGGTCCTGTAATTAATACAAAAATTTCTTTATCAGATTATTAATGAATCACCAGCGAAGATAAACAATATAAGACAACAAAAAGTCCAAATAAAATAGAATCGCCAATTTTTAATTGTGGTCACTTCTCACTAATCGTTTGATATGTCCAAAATTTCTTAGAATTCCGAGATGTTAAATGTGATCACACTGCGACAGACATTTTAGAATTCCAAAAATTACCAGGAACTGAATTCTATCGCTCCTTGGTTTTGGCAATTTTGGAGATATTTAATGGTTCCGACACTTTTTCCTAACTCGGTATTAAAAAAAAAAGAAAACCCGTTTCCTTGACCGAAAATCCTAAATCGCACATCTACACTTCCAATTATGTTTCTCGCTAACCAAACGAAACCATGCCCCGTAATTTTGTTAAGGGTAGTAAATAAATCTTTTCACTAATTTTGTCCAAAAAAAAAAAAAACAAAGTATTCATAACCAAATTCCACGCAAGGCGTAGTATAATTGGGTTTTCCTAGATAGAGCGTGTCCAACATTGAAAAAGTATATTTTAAAACAAAATGTGCGCCACTCACCTTTTCTTACGATTAAACATGTAAACATGTAAGTTTTTTGGTTAGATTTTTGGACCTAAAATATGAAATAAAAAGAAACTAAACTTTTGGTGGCCAAGGAAGTTATATTATTATGATGAAAAGCATATTGCTGTATTATTATAATAATACCCAAAAATTTAGTCAAAATTAGATGGAATATTTATAAAAAAATATTACTTTAATTATATACTTTATATAACGCTTTCAAGGATGTTTTATTTATGTACGAAAAATTGTGGGAGAAGAACGCGACATATGGACACTAGGCGCTTAAAAAATGCACACACGACATGTTCAATGAGCACAGATCGACTTCTAAAACGGTCTTGGGAGAAGTCCAAAACATCCGAAATTTTCAATCTTTTTTTTTTACAGCAACCAATTTTTTCTGTGTCGCGCGTTAAAACATTTTGTGCAGAGGTATTGCACGGTGGTGCCCATTTCCGGACCCAGAAGGGTATTAAGGAAAACATATTTGGAGGGCTATACAATTCCAAAGGTAAAGCGGGGTTATAAAATTGTTGTTTATTTTTTTAGGTTAAGTTTTTATTGTTTACCTAATATTAAAAATAATGCAATTGAAATTATTTTTAAACGAAATTGAGTAAATTTAAATAGCGCAAATCTTCATGCATTTTAGAACACCACTGTTTTAATAAATCTTCATTCACTCCACAACGACAAATCGCAGTGGCGACACCCGGAAAAATTTCTTCCCGACAGGTTTTTAGACGAAGAAGGCAATTTGCTGTCCCACGAGGGGTTGATTCCCTTTGGTTTAGGTACAAATTTATAGCGTCACTGTCTCAAATATACAAGTTATTGTTTCCAGGTCGACGAAAATGTCTGGGTGACTCTTTGGCCAAGACATGTATATTTATAATATTTGCGGAAGTGTTGAGGAGGTATAGCGTCGAGGCATGCGCTCCTTCTACCGGAAAAACCGTATTCGGGCTCACGGCGGCACCCGAAAAGTACAAAGCGAAATTCACGCCCAGATTTAAGTAGTATTTTTTTGTAAAATATTTAAAGCAAGCAAAAAATAAATACATACTCAACGAAATAAATGAATTTTTATTGTCTCGCTCGTGCCACATAAAAAATGCTCTTTCGCTTTTTCTCAGCGGCAGTTTCTGATGGTCCACTTATTGTCTGATCCAGTGGCGTGGCCGAAATATGAATCATATACCCTGTGACAAGGAAACTACTATCCATGGCGGCCTTTCAAAAAGGCTTGAGATAGAAATGTGCAATTTGGTACATTGATACGGTTGAAACATTGTAAACATTTTTACAATTGGATTGCAAAGTTTGTTATTTTAAATAGAACCCTGTATATTTTTAATTTTTTGAACTCTTAAACTGTTGTGCAAAAAATTACCAGTACGAGGTATGCGGAGTAAGTAAAATGATTTCTTCCTGCGTGTGACTGTCATCCGATGAGGTGGTAGACAAGTAAATAACAATTAAAGCGTGGCTTTTTAACGAAATGTTTCCGAGTTCGCGGCTAATGGCTTTTAGCCATATTTTTGAATATACTGAAAAGTTAAAAAATGTTATTCCAATAATAGTTAATCATTTAAAATTAACCTTTTGAAGTAATAGATTGTGTAATTCTTGTAAAAAAATATGCATTTTCGTAATATTTTATATATTTTTCGGAAACTCATTTGTCTGATTTAGAGACATCCTGCAACATCAACCCGACACTGGCGCCCCGCGGAAAAATAAAATCGCCGAAGAATCAATCGCAAAATATTATTTATTCGTGTAAGTTTTATAATTCGATAAAAGCGTGGTGTATATATCCGGTATAGCCTTATAAAAATATACATAAAATTCATCACTATCTAATCGCCAAAGCTGCATCCTCATCTCTCTACACATTCGATAAGGCACACGGTTGCCGTAAAATTACAAAAAATAGTCCGGGCTCCTCTATGGTAACGATACGATCGAAACCAAACTGATCCGGTTTCGGATATCACAACGTTCGATCCGGTACTAAAAGAAATACCCCGTCGCCGCTTCGCGTGCTTCAGGTGCCGTGATCGAACTCCCTGTAGCCCTCCGCCCCTGTGAAAATTACGTCCACCCATATCCTCATGGACTCCGGAGACGGGGCCATCAGATAATAGAACCTCTCGTGGGTCTTGACGACGAACGTCAACTGCGGATTCGGAGACTTGATGCTGTTCAAGTGGTCCAAGTAGACCTCTTCTATTGCCTGCACGGACATATAACACACCATGGATATATAATCCGAGGTAGATAGCATAGCCCTTCTATTAGTTGAAAATCTTTCAGCCATGTTTTTCGGACACTTTACAAATTTGCAAGCGGCTAGTTCTTTATAGCCACTGATTGCTGTTAGAAGTAAGTTAACTTTGGCAAAATTTTGAAACAAACCAGAATTAATGGCAAGGGACATTGCGAATTGGAGCATCATATATACAGGGTAAATCATAAATAATGGGGCAATCTCTAAACTGGTGGTACTACACACGAAAATATTATGACGGAGCTCAACGTGGCTCAGCGCCCGGCTCGATGTTTAATTTAGTTCTGATTTTTTCATTAAATGATAAAGGTTCCCCCATATTATTTACGTAAATCAAATCATATTTTTTTCTGGTTGAAACACGATGGAAATCTGAAACAATTTTCATATTTCATGAATTATTATAATTTAAAAATTATAATTTAAAAAGTTGAAATAATTTTTTCTCAACACGTAAAAGACGCAAAGGGAGCAATATTTAACAATAATAATTATAATAATATTAATTGAACAAAAATTTCAAATAAAATGTTAGGATTTCATAATACTTCCAGCATTGATGGTGAGATTCACAATGTCCCTTATGACTGAAATCCCGACTTATTCTTCAAAAAGTGACCTAATTAAACTAAAACATATATTTAAATTTCATGGTGGTCATGAACTGACTATCAGGAAAAATTCAAGATATCAACTTAATAAAGATCCTACGTCATCTGTTGAAATTTGTTATTAAGGCTATTTCTCTATCAGAATCCAAATCGCTCTTCACGACTCTAAAATTCCTCGTCTCTACGGAGTCCATAAGATTCACAAACCAGAATTACCGCTTCTATATTAAAAACCTTCACTTATAATAATTATTTTATTTTTATTTTGTGATTTGGCCTCATGGTCAAGAATCCCTCCAAGATTTTCTGAGCAATTATACTTTATCTTCTCTACACTCTAAGATTAGTTTCTATAAAAACTAATAATAATCTCCCATTCTTAGCAATGGGTCATTCTGTTTACAGAAACACAGACACAAAGACATCCATTGTCATATCCACCATTCGGTCCAAAAATCATGGGTTCGTTGTTGTTCTCTCTTTCTCTCTAATAGGGGTTAGGGGTATTAAAAAGGGGTTCAAAATACACTTCCAAAGACAATGAGTCCTAAAGCAACCTCACACTTGCCACCGTTGTCATTTACATTCAAAACATCACTAACCACATATCAAAAGTCCTAAAAAACATAACGTTTAAACCCGATCTGAAAATCTCTCAAGATCTTTGATCCCTCAAAGACAAAATTCCGTTTGAGATACCAGAGTTTACAGCATTCCTTTCATATGTGGCAAAGAATATATTGGAGAGCCAGGACGAAAAATATCAACTAGGCTCAAAGAACATGAAAGAGCTTTAACACAATCACCAAATCTGATTCGATAAAGTTCTTGCAAGTAATAAATTCTTCCACCAAAGACAATTCCAAGAATACAAAAAAATCTATAAGCAACCAAACAATGGACACAGGACGTGGTGATAAACTAACAACTAGGTCGCTTTATTTCCATCACAGTCCACCATCGTCGTAATTGAACCCTATTATGAGCTTGAGTTGATAAAAAGTGTGCGAAAGTTACATATTGCCGTTTTTTTAAACATGGTGGGTAGTGCGCTGAGCGTACTACTAAAAGGGCTATTGTTTTCATTTTAATGTGATATAAATATGATCATACAATATTCCTATTGCTTGACATTGCCGTTTGGGCAGTTGTTATTAAAATTATATCGTTCATTATACTTATTCAAAGGAATATTGTATGCATTTTGCGCTACTGTGGTGACGCAAAAAATAATTTACCTGAAAGTAGGCGCCGCCCCTGGTTTTCTTCTCGCTTTTGTCTGAGTAATACGTGAGCGTGTGCTTGCTGCGGTCGAAAACGAACCACCTGCGGGACCAGCCGTTCAGTTTCGAGCCCTTTTTGTGCAGGAACCCCCTGCAGCTGGTGGAGGTGATGGTGACGTGGGGACACAGCACCACCTGATGGCCTGAAAGCGAATTTAGAAACTTTACCTTAACGGTAACAGTTAATTTGATAGAAGATCATAGTTAATTTTTTACGCTATCCCAGAGAGAAACTATACAAGAATTAGGGTCAAAGTACGTCATTAAAAAATGAATCAACAGCATAATTTCAAAGCCCTAGTTAATTTGTACAACTTCTCTTGTGGTTTGTACATTTGTACATGACGGTAAATGTTCAATAGTTTGTAAACATACCGGGTTAGTGAGAAGTACCGGGATGCTTAAATATCTCCAAAAGTGTCAAAGTTGGAACAATTAAATTCAATATCTGGGGATTTTTGAATATGCAAAATTCAAAAACGCTTTTTTCACTATTTAATTAACTACATGTTTGTAAATAGTACTGAGATGATGTATTTTCAAAATGATTCACTAGACGTTCCATGAATCTCAAGGTAGATGGTTCAGAAGTCATATAAATTCAAAACCCAAAATTCGTTAAATTTCAAAGACCAAAAATTAAAAAGTGGTCACCTGTTTTTAGTGTGATCATAGAAAGAAGAATTTATTTTTATTTATTTATTTATTTATTTAAATTTAAAAAATGGACGTGACATTTAGTTAATTCATTGTAGATTCTCCTTGAATTACGAATTATATATATTATATAAAAAATATGATGAAATATGTCTATGGTCCTGTAATTAATACAAAAATTTCTTTATCAGATTATTAATGAATCACCAGCGAAGATAAACAATATAAGACAACAAAAAGTCCAAATAAAATAGAATCGCCAATTTTTAATTGTGGTCACTTCTCACTAATCGTTTGATATGTCCAAAATTTCTTAGAATTCCGAGATGTTAAATGTGATCACACTGCGACAGACATTTTAGAATTCCAAAAATTACCAGGAACTGAATTCTATCGCTCCTTGGTTTTGGCAATTTTGGAGATATTTAATGGTTCCGACACTTTTTCCTAACTCGGTATTAAAAAAAAAAGAAAACCCGTTTCCTTGACCGAAAATCCTAAATCGCACATCTACACTTCCAATTATGTTTCTCGCTAACCAAACGAAACCATGCCCCGTAATTTTGTTAAGGGTAGTAAATAAATCTTTTCACTAATTTTGTCCAAAAAAAAAAAAAACAAAGTATTCATAACCAAATTCCACGCAAGGCGTAGTATAATTGGGTTTTCCTAGATAGAGCGTGTCCAACATTGAAAAAGTATATTTTAAAACAAAATGTGCGCCACTCACCTTTTCTTACGATTAAACATGTAAACATGTAAGTTTTTTGGTTAGATTTTTGGACCTAAAATATGAAATAAAAAGAAACTAAACTTTTGGTGGCCAAGGAAGTTATATTATTATGATGAAAAGCATATTGCTGTATTATTATAATAATACCCAAAAATTTAGTCAAAATTAGATGGAATATTTATAAAAAAATATTACTTTAATTATATACTTTATATAACGCTTTCAAGGATGTTTTATTTATGTACGAAAAATTGTGGGAGAAGAACGCGACATATGGACACTAGGCGCTTAAAAAATGCACACACGACATGTTCAATGAGCACAGATCGACTTCTAAAACGGTCTTGGGAGAAGTCCAAAACATCCGAAATTTTCAATCTTTTTTTTTTACAGCAACCAATTTTTTCTGTGTCGCGCGTTAAAACATTTTGTCCCAGTGGTGATTTTGTTTATCACATCGAGGAATAATTTTTGCACATCCATTTAGAAATTTTATTATTATCACCACTAAAGGATATAAAACCGTAGAAATCGCTAATTTATGTGTAAAGGAAAGATCTTATACATGACTTCAAAAGTAAACAAAAGCGTTAACAAAAAATTTGTATCACATTTTCAAGTAAATCCAAATTAGCAAAAAAAATTATTTTGGATGTGTATTGCCATTTTGGTTAAGTCTATAGCATGTAGATTACATCACAGAAAACATACATTGGAAATACTATATTGATTGTGCTTTATTTTTTTTTTAAATTACTGGTGCGTGAATGCACCACTGGTTATATCTGTGCAACAAGTTCAAGTTATCCATAGATGAACAAATGGTACCTTACATTGGCCGCCATTCCTGCAAAATGTTTATAAGGGGTAAGCCAGTTCGTTTTGGCTTCAAGCTTTGGTGCCTTTGTTCATCTGATGGGTACCTATTTTAGTCACTTCCATATGGTGGTGCTCAAAATCAACCTCATTATGACCTTGGTCTTGGCGGTAATGTAAATATACCCCAACCTTATGTAACTGCCCAATACAATAGATATATGGGTGGGGTACATTTACATGACAACGGAATTGCTAATTATAGGTATTTGGAAAAAAATGGTGGCGGCGTAACTCACTGGATAGTTTAGTAGTGAATGCATGGACATTGTATAATATTGTCAGGTAGATTTTAAATCTTACATTGCTTTGGCGACTTTTAACAACTGAAAAACAATTACTCAAAGAAATCTTGCCCCTGCCATAGATGAAGTGCGTTATGATAATCAAGGTTAGCTCACGATCGTTCATGCAAATAAATCCCAAATGTAGAATTTGCCACAGCGAAACAATTTACGTTTGTAATAAGTGTAATGTGCATTTACATACTTCATGCTTTGTAAAATATCACCAAAAATAAAACCGGGTCTTACCATAAAATATTATGCGTTTTTTTTGTATCAAATCACGTTCTATTTGGAAAAAAATCTACTTTTAGTTATTTTCTGTCGAATTATATGTTACATCTTATGTGCCCCAAAACATTTAATGATTTTTCAGTGGTTCGTTTACGCACCAGTATTTTTTTGGATGTTTCGAATTTTTATTTTTTTTTTTGACACACAAACTGTTTTCTTGAGTGTAACAAAATAAAAAATTTCAAAGCAAAAAAGTATTTTTTTTTTTACGAAACAACATTTCTGTTGAAGATTTTACGCAGGAACCGATGATTTTCATTTAACTCTAATGCAATAAATCCGGGACCCTGTCCGCGTCCAGTGTGTTTATTTTTAGGTTGAAAAAAGTCGGCTCAGTGAATCACGATAAACACACTAAACTCGCGCTGAGTCACTCGCTCACTTGCATACAAAAGATTCGTCTTTGGCGGACGCCGTTAGGAAGTAAATATTGTGGTTAGACCCAACACTGAATAAACTGAACGTTCTAAAAATAATTAGTTTCCAGTTTAGACCGTTTTGTGTATATTCGCATATGCATTTCTGTGCAAGGTTAACAGTGATAAACCCCTATAGAGAAACTCTGTATAATGAAAAACTCTGCAATACGAACAAAATTTGTTCCATACAAAGCTATGTATTAATCCACTCTGCATAACGAATTTCTCACTCTTTATGCCGAAAGAAAAAAGGGCACCTCAGGTAACAAAGTAAGGAATGTAGGCCGACTTGTAATTAATAGATAGTCTCTTACCTTCTCAGACTTCCTTACCCTAATAATCTAATTACCGAGAACTTGACCGTCCTGAGTGTTTTTCTCGTAATAATCGATTATGTTAATGTCTTTATTGGTATATATAAAAGCACAACATTGTTTCAATTAGTTATAATTTGACTTGGTGAATACGGCGAGCATGGCGAGTAAGCAAAAAATTTTATCTCTAGATGATAAAGTTGCTTTAATTCGGGGAGAAAAGAAAAGTGATCGACTGTATCCACGATTTGGAAGTGTAAATAAAAAATCATTCAGGCTGAAGCGGCAGACAGTTTTAGTAAAAAAGTAAGAAAGCCGAAATTTGAAGATTTGGATCGGGCAATGTTGCAGTGGTTCCAACAGCAACGTCTTAAAAATGTACCACTCTCTGGACATATCGTAAAACTAAAAGCAGAAAAGTTGGAATAGATAAATGGCGAAGCCCGTGATGTCGACAGAAATGTCACTAACGATTGGCTGGAGAAGACGTGGCCAAAACTAGCAGACAAGTACCCTGCTGACGACATTTTTAATGCTGTCGAAACTGGTATTTTTTACAAAATAACACCAGATAAAACTCTTAAATTTCGAAGAAAAAAGTGTGTCGGTGGAAAACTTTCTAAAGAACGTATAACAGTGTTAGTAGCTGCCAATCAATGAATGGGAGAGAAAAAAGAAAGCTAGTCGTGAAGTTTTAAGAACATCAAGCATTTGCCGGTCACTTAAAAGGCAAACAACGCAAATTTTTGACGAGGAGATGCGGAAGTGGGATGCAGAATTAGAGTGAAGGAAAATATTACTTCTCTTAGATAACTGTCCTGCACATCCCCATATTCCAAATCTACGGAATATTGAATTGGCGTTTCTTCCAGCCAAAACAACAAATGTATTACAGCCGATGAACAGAGCGCAATAAAAAGTCGATACAGGAAAAACATTTTAATGGAAATGATCGAGTCCGAAGACAAATTTTCCATTAATATACCAGATGCAGTCAACTTTATTAGTAAAGCTTCAACACTCCCATCGTCATACAGGACTTATTACCGATACCGAATGCCAACAGGATTTGGAAGATGATCAGGTACTCGGCGAGCGGATAAAACAGTTTCAAACAATAATTACGTTTACGAGTGTGGAGACGCAAGATTTTATGGTGATAGATCAGGATTTGCCTACAACAGCAGACTTGACAGATGAAGCCATATTACAACAAGCAAGAAAGGGCGAGGAAGAGCACCAAGAGGAAGAAGAAGATGAAGACAACAAGCCACAGTTAAGCTGCTAGAGAATTTTTTTATGAATCATGGGGAAGATGCCCCTCTCGAAGAAATGGTGAAAATACAAGCCAAAGTACGAGATGCGTATTGGCAGACTAAAAAATTCAAAAGAAAATGACCGATTATTTGAAACATTAAATGTAGTATATAAAATAATTAAATATTACAGAACACACATGCGTATTGTTATTTTTCAAGTATCTATAACTATTTATAACGAAAAAGAAAGCAGTCCCTTCAATTTCGCTATATAGACTGTATTTTCCTCTTTATGCTTTATGCGAAAACATAACCTTTCAGTACCAAAATAATGGAAGAGTTGTCTAATCCACGCTGTACCTTTGAAGTATTCCAAGGCCATTTTAATGACGCAGCTACCAAAAATAATGAACAAGAAGGAGTAATATTCCAATTATTTGAAGAAATTATTGTAAAAAAGAGAAAATAAATGTTTTGTACGGAATTTGTAGCTAGTTACAACAGAAGATTATATTGTTGCGATATTAATGATCGCCATTTTGTAACGTTAGTTAAAAAAATTAAAAGGATAGTATATAAAAAAGTGAAACTACAACAGAATATTTTCTTTAGGTAAAACTTTAATTAAAATGATTTAACAATAAAAATGGACGCAAAATAGCAACAAAATATTTTAAAACCCTGTCTTGTACATTACGTTTGTTAATTTGCTTTTTTATAGTCCAAAATAAAATAGACAACTTGAGAATATAAAATAAAAAAAATTAAAACAGCGAAATATAAAGCAACAAAAAGAAGAGTGAAGAAAAATCTACAACTGGGAATAAAAAATATGATTTCTATTTATACGAAATACATGTGAATGTGTATTAAAAATTATTTATTCGAAAGCAACTCGTTTTACTGTGATAAATGCGATGCATTTATTGGTAACATCTTCCCAAGTTTATTTAAAAGCGGATTACAAATCCAAACCCTATATGCAGAATCTTCGCAGGAAAATTGTGTGACCCATGCGCAGGGTGCCAATGGAATGTAGTAAAAAAGTTCATAATAAAATTGGCCATGAGTTTGTGTTGTTTAGCCCGGCCAGCCCTTCAAGAAGCTCATTTTGTTTCGTCCTTCACTCTAACTTATATTCGAACATTAAAGAGGTGGTATTTAATGATGTACCTCGTTCGGTATTTATTCGACAAAATTCCTCCTCCACTCTTGAAAATGATTTCCAGCATTTTCTTTTGGCCACTTTATGTTTTTTTTTTGTTTCAAACATCTACGTTGAATGGTTGTCCAGATACAGGCGCTTACCTCGTTTAATTGACCACCTTGTACAAAAAATAGAGCAATCATAATTAAATATAAGTTAGGATTAGATTTAGGTTTAAAACCTATTTTTTAATTTAATATTTATTTATATTATTATTTGACAGAATACCTACTTCACATGTGTACATAGTTATAATACGACCAAAAATATAGTGCATTTATTGCTTTAACGTTTTAATTATTTTACAGTACCTTAACCGTAGACCTTCGCAGGACCGTGGTAAAACCCATCCCAACTGATGTTTATTCTGCCTGAGATGGACCGTAACGAATATTTGTAGAAATTTGAAATTATTATTTGAAACGTAAATGGACCGTTTATGTTAACATCAGGCGATATGTATCGTTCTGAAGAGTTTAATCTAAATTGCAATATGTTCGTATATATTACGAAGGTATTTGACTGTGATCCTTCCAGTAAGCACGTATTTGTGTACCTCTCGAGCTTTGACCCTGTGAGGCTGTTTTCACTGGATAGTTCAAAGGGTAAGTACTCCATTTATTTTACAGGTAAGTTAGGCAAAATAATTATTTTTGTCTTGTGTGCCTGTCGATTAACAACATTTTTCTTCTTCCATTTTTGTGTCTGCTACATAGTTCTTCAATTTGTAAACAACAACAGTCTTTTTTAAGACTGTAGGATATATTTGCGGTAGATAAAGGTAGGATTTATTAGAATCTTAAAACATTTTGTGAAAGTTCCTGTTTTTTAGCACTTTAAAATGTGGAGACCGTGAAATGAAGCAGATGTTCCTATGTTAGAAGAAGACATGGAAAACAACGCAGAAACGAGGTGGATATGAGGACGAACTATCTCATCAAATGAAAAAACGTATCGATTTGTCTTCGGGTGCGAAACAAATTGTTTCGAATGTTTACAATGTTATAAGAAATTCAGAAGTAGGAGCAGCAATAAAAACAAGTGACATGACCAAAGTTCCTAAGTCAACTGTAAGAAAAATGGGGTAGTCAATAGGAAAGCGAGAAAGATGCGGGTTCTTAGCGAGTTTTTAAAGAGCAAGATGCAGATCTAAAAAGATTGAAAACATACTTATATCCCGCTTGTTAGTGTAGGTACATAAATTCCTAGGACGGTCCTGAAATGGTTACGTCTGCTAGGCAGGGTGTTCTATGAGGAGCTGCGGTTTTGGAGTAATAAACAATTTGCAAAAGTTAATCACGGGGTAGGTTGTAAAAGCACTATATTTCTGGTCGAAGTATACCTGGTACAATGATGATAAACTGTAATACACCTAAGATTGGATTTTCATGTAAAAATAAGACTTGTTTCCCATAAACGTATGTATTAATTTTATTTGTTTTCGAGATACAGGGTGTCAAAGTTTTTTTTCTGATTTTTAGATTAGAATAAAAACCGCACGTTTCCAGACCACTTAAAACAACAACTAAATTCTAATAGGAAATGGCTTATCTCAACATCAACGTTTAACATTGCAAAAGGCGTCTCGATTCATGACTTTTCTTCTCTTCCAACTATTTATTTTTCTTTTAAAAAACAAATAACAAAAAAAGAATGTTACCGTAAAGGAACATGTCAAATTTTATCAAAATCAAAAATTGTGATTTTGTATTGCAATTAACCAAAACTTGTTGTTTAGACAATTTTTCCCTTTTTTAAGTATCTAAGTAAATACTGGATGATGCTTAACCGCACCACAATTCATTCCATCTATCGCCAATGAATAATAACGAGTACGATAGCATATAGTAACGACTTACCGGCTGATTCTATGTGCTGCCTAAGGTCAAGATCGGAACCTCTGATAGGAAGGTACCGCGTCAGAGGGCGCTGTTTATCGCCCGCTGGTTTCGTTCGTTTCCTGTTCAACGTGCCGCCGCCCACCTCCAAGCTCATTTCGCTCACTTCCGACAGGGGTCGCGGTGAGCTGTTGTCTTCATTTTTCGACTGAAACGAGGAAGAAGATTTTGAGAGCGGAACCACCCGTTCGGCGTTTACCTTGGCGAAATTGGTCTGCTTCACGTTAAAATGTTTACAAGTTAATCGGGAGAGTTTTATAAACACATTAAACCTTCCGGTTTATTTATCGGGACGTAAATCATTGGACGGAATATACATATCCTCGGAGTAGGTTGCGATAAAACCGGCGTAAATCAACTAAAGCTGCCAACGTTGTAAAAACAATGGATGCCGATGCGAAATTTTGAGCTCGTTATAAATACTTCAACATACTTATGAAGTGGATCGCAAGATTGATTAAAAAAAAACACAATGAAAATAGGCAATGTAAAAAACTATTTTTCAATTTTTACTAATAAATAAAGAAACCATAAAGTTATCCTTAATTTCCGTAAAATATCCTATCATGTCAAAACCTCATCTGTTTATAAAATTCGTCAATCTAGTTTTACTGTAAATCGCATCCGACAAGAAATAGATCAAATAAATAAGACTTTTTTGCCTCTGCATCTTGAAATTGCTCCATATTGTCCCCTACCGTCAACACTAGTGAAACCATCACACTTTTCTCAACTACACTGTGGTAAATGTATCATCTGGGAAGCAAACTTAAATTCTTATTAAAGTTGCTTCTCTATCCAATCCGTGAACAAGTCTTTCACCACTCACCACTCTCTACGAACTCCCTAAGAATCACAAACCAGCATTATACCTTCAACCTATGGTCAACACCATTGGTTCTCCGACATATTCTATTGCCAATTATTTAGCTTCTATTTTAAAGCTCTTTATAAGGAAAGCTAATGGTTTCATACTTTCATTGCAATGAACAACTAAAAACCAATACATTAGATCCACAAACATATTCTGGTTCGTTGCAACTCTCCAATAGAAAATCAGACCCTAACTTTCTGTTCACAGAAATCTTAAGATACCTAATGTATCGTCACATCACCATCCGGCGCAAAAATCATCGGCTATCAAATCTCTCCTTTACAGAGCCGCTAAACTATCTCAATCTACTGAACCAAGAATTAAAACAGCTTACATCTGCTCTTCTCACAATGATTCCGAAAGCAACCCCACTATTGTCACGTCACTGTTGTCCTTCCTTGCATTCAAAATATCAATGACAACATATCAAAAGTTCTAAAGAAATACAACATCAAAACCAGATTTACAACTTACCAAGAATCTCTCAACATCTTCGATCCCTTAAGGACAAAATTCCGTTTGACATCATATCAATTTTATTCGATGAAACTAATCAATCAATTCTTGTAACAACGAAAATCCGAGAACCTATAGATATCTATAAGCAACCAAACTATCTTAGCCGTGACACAGGTCTTTACCTTTCAGGTACAGAGTAAAATGTGAACCAGTTTCAGTTAAGCTCTGAAGAAGCCAACAGGACGATTTACGAAACGTCAACAAGTTCGAATCATCAACAACCGATGCCGGAGGAATCCAGAAGATTTGTAAATAAGTGTTACAGTAGACTGCGGAAGTTTTTTTGAAAATAATAATTAATAAATAGGAAATAAAAATTGCTTTAAACGACAAAACATATAAAAATAAATATATATAAATATAAAAAAATGAATCGATAATTTTATAAACCCATAAAAAAAAAAAGAAATTTTATTAGGAAAACATTGCTTTTTAATCGAAAATACTTATAATATCGAAAAACAATTTTGTTGTTGTTGTATCAAGCACAATTCTTTTTTAAAAATGTTGTGTTCCACATCGTCAAATTAATATTAACAAAAGTTCTCTAACCAAATAATCAACTCAAGGAAAAAATTGATCAAGCACTGTTTTCACAACCGAAGATTTGTAAATAAGTATTACAGTAGACTGGGGAAGTTTCTTTGAAAAAAAGAATTAATAAATAGGAAATAAACACAAAATAAAAATTGCTTTAAACGATAAAACATAAAAAAAAAATGAATGAATGAAATTAAAAAAAAAATTATTGGGAAAACGGTAATGTTTAATTGAAAATACTTATAATATCGAAAAACAATTTAATTGTTGTTATACCAAGCACAATCATTTTTTTTTAAATTTTGTGTTGGACATCATCAAATTAATACTAACAAAAGTTTTTTAAGATCTTGGATTCCTACCGCTTTTTCTCTAGCTAAATGATCAATAACTTGACACAAGGAAAAAATCAATCAATCTCTGTTTTCAAACAGAAAAAAATTGCTATAAATAAAAAAAGCAGAAATTAAAATTTCTAATATATATTTTTTTCTCAAAATCACACTCACGTTTCTTAATCGTTGTTTTTTCTTCAGGTTTCTTCGATACCCGGCCCTAACGTACGTAATCCAAAGTGACATAATTATGCTGCCCACGAATTTAACCGCGCACAAAGAAAAAAAGGCAAGAGTGCAATCTACTTCGCGGCTCGACGCTAGACGGCAAATAAAAATATACGAGTGGAAATTTGTTTAGCCGGTCTCTGGCCGGCCGTCTAGATAAATTTGACTTGAAAGTACAAAATTTTCCCCCCACTTTGAAATAATAGCGGCAGGAGGCCCGGGTGTATACCAAACCCACTTTTTTATAACTGAGCTGAAGTATACAATGTAGCAGCGGCGTAATTAGTTGGTTAGGCAAGCCTATGGAAATGTGATTTGAGTCGCATAAGCGAGCGATTGCAATAACAGGGACCAAAGAACAAAAATTTATTACGTTCTCTAGTGTATTTTTGAACAAAAAAAGGAAATAAGTAAAAAAAAAGAAATCAGGCAGATAATCAATATTGTAATCCTACAATCAAAATGATCAATTTCCGTATATAATGCTGAAACATTCATAGAAATCATAGAATTCGACCTATGTAAGTATTTTTCAAAAAATTTCCTACCACTTTTAAATAATAGTGGTAGGAAGCCTTAATTTAGTTAATTAGGTTAATGATGCGTCATTTCATCGACAAGATTTTTTTTTCAAAAATATAGAAGTATAATGATTCGTTATGTTAAAAACCCGTATATAAGTAATACAAGAAACAAAAATACTTCACTCGTAATGTAAAAAACTTTTTATCATTGAATAATTGACATATCGAAATTTTCCACGTGTGCAACGGGATCGTTACCCAGTAATTTTTTGATTCATCTAAAATAAATACTATATTTTTATACTATTTTTTCAAAATTCTGCCTCATTTTTAAAAATTTCTGTATTATTACCACCCAAAATTTTTTAAACCATTTTTGCTCCATCGGAGCAATACTAAGAAACTCAAAACAAAAAATTACTCTGGAAAACCAAGGAGTATACAGTGTAGCATGCGGATCGTGCAGCCTGACGTATGTGGGACGGACCAACAGAAGGATTTCAACAAGGCTCGAGGAACATCGTTTAGTTATAAGAAACAAACAACATTTGCTTTGTTTCAACACCAACACCAGACAGGCCATAAAATTGATTTCGGTACTTGCAAAAAAAAAAGCTAATATTTCTGATTTTAGGACCAGGATTATACGAGAGGCCATCGAGATAGAAAAGTCCGGACACTTAAATACGAGAGACGACGCTCTGCATTTATTCAATACGTGAAGAACGATAATCAAACAGCAGAGCGATACGCAGCATCCAACGGGGACATCGCAACTACGATCGGACGAAATTAACAACGCGACAATTCGGGGGGCGGAGCCATCTCCCCTCCCGCACAAGCAGCACCGTTACCACCTCCGGCGCAGGGTATAAATACCGCACGCACCGCCGATAGCCTCCCAGTGTTCGCAGTGTTTTCAGAGCGCGAGCATTGAATATGCCAAGTGAGATCTTGACGAAACGTCTGCAACATGCCAAGTGAGATCTTGACGAAACGTCTGCAGGATTCCAGTCGGAGTTCAACAAACGAATGGATGATATCCCGGAATGTGTTAAAGGAAAAAGCGATATAAAAAAAATATAAACCAATATAAAATAATATATAATTTATAATTTTATAATACAGAAAAAAATAAAATTATTAAATTAGCATTTACATAGTATAGGTAAAACTATAAAATCCTGAATAACAAATGAATTCATTAAGCGTATATTCAAATTTTGTTCTCACTTCGTTCTAATTCAATATATACACTTAATCAATTCATTTGTTATTCAGGATTTCATAGTATTACCTATGTAAATGTTAATTTAATAATTTAATTTTTTTCTGTATTATAAAATATTTGTAATACAAATTGTGTATTATTTAAATATATTCCGCAAATATATTTTCCTTTAAATCGTTAAATACTTTTCTTTTGTAGCACATCAAGCGTAAGTCAAAGCAAAACCACAAAGACTTTCGATCTCGCCGTTAATTTTAAGTTCAGTTACGTATCTATATTCGGATATCCGGACGAACTTATTTTAAGAACTCGTCACCGATAGACAAGTCCATCATTATTGGGTTCCTATTTTCGGATCCCTAATTTGAATCCAAAGGGAACCGTTTGCTTTCGAACATTTAGTTTTTTTAAACTACTTGCTATTTTAAAATGTCTAATGATGCACGGATCAAACATGCGGAAAGTGTCGCTTAAAGAAGACAGGTTTCGATGCAGGTATTTTGACGACAGTCACGTTTCTATTTTCAAACGTTTTTGGGATTTTTTTTCTAAAAAATTACCCAAATTTTCAAAAAATCGTGTAGTCGGAAAAATTTTCGAAAACAAATGAAGCACAAATAAAACTCGTGACTAAAATCGCTTTTATCGAACGCCGTTGCAAAATACGCCGTTCTACATTCTTGTTATCGGAAGTAATTTCCACTGAATAAGTAAATCTTATCGCAGGGTGTTCGTTAATGATATGCCAATATTTAACGGTGAACATCCAATACCAGTACAGTTTTTAATCTGCTTATCCTAGCTACAAGATTAATAAGTAAAAATAAATAATAATAATTGAAGCACCAAGTGAAATTTTTCCCAAAATATTGTTAAATAAATTAATTACTATATTTTCCTAACTAATTCTGTCTTTTTAATTTTTTTTCATTTACTCATTACAGCTCGAGGGAAGAATTTCGTTTCTTCCAATTATAATTTTTAATGCAAAGTATTGTTCATGAGTTTACGTCTATATCGGCATTACTTTTTTTTGCAATTCCCGGATATTATCCGGGTCCCGATTTACAGAAAATCCCAGCGTTCGAACATAGTAGTCGTAAATTTTGAACGCTTGAATTCCGGGCTAAACGCGGCCGTTTGTGCCCACCGTTTTGCAGAAATCGCGTAAAGCTTGTTTTGAATTGAATGAAATTTTAACGCAACTAGTCATTTGCTTATTATTATACCGACGAAATGCGTATAGCGGATATTAAAAGATACACAATCGCGAAAAACAACTTTTATTGTGTTCCGAGACGCGAGAATTTATATTTTCGGTTAATTCGAGGTGAAAAAAAAAAAACAGCACCTCGGCCAACATGCTTTCCCGTTGGTCCAACAAAGTTGTCCACAAAAATAATAATAATAATAATAATAATAATAATAATAATAATAATAATAAAATGTCCAATAAAACACAGGGTGTTCCGAAACTAATGCTACGTTGAAAATAAACCGTATTTGCTTATATAAAGATATTGTCGGAAAAACTGCCTATCTGAGATACAGGGTGTTGAAATGTTAAAAAATATATATGTTTGCGTACTTTTCAAACCGCCGGAGATATTTCGTCGATATTTTGTGCATTGTGGTAGTAAGATACATTTTTCGATGGGAATTACTTTTTTTTTTTTAAATTTACCAGTGACATTCGAACCGAATTTTAATATATATATATATATATATATATATATATATATATATATATATATATATATATATATATATATATATATATATATATATATATATATATATATATATATATATATATATATATATATATATATATATATATATATATATATATATATATATATATATATATATATATATATATATATATATATATATATATATATATATATATATATATATATATATATATATATATATATATATATATATATATATATATATATATATATATATATATATGATGACACTATATTCCGTGATATCATCCGCCATAATGTCATCCTTGTCCATCCTAAGAGAACCTAAAATCTGAGTGAAATGTTCGATACGTTGATGACGTATTTGTTGTATGGCCTTTTGGCAAGGAGGAGCTTTTGAAATTCCTAGATCATCTGAATTCCATTCACCCAAGGATTCAATTTACAATAGAACTTGAAGAGGATAACAGTCTGCCCTTTTTAGATGTGCACATCACAAGGACCGAAGATGGACACTTGGAACACACTGTCTATAGAAAACCAACACACACTAATAGATATCTGAACGCTAAATCTCATCACCACCCATCACAGATACAGGCAGTGGCAAATACATTAATTGCTCGGTCCTTCAGGCTCACAAACGAGAGGAACAGAGATAAAGAACTGAAGAAAATTAGTACCTGTCTTCGACAAAACGGATACCAAAGGCGCACCATCAGCAAGGCAATCAGTAAACAACAACAGCCGCAGCAGAGAGTGCAGGACGAGACCCAACGAAGATCGATCGCTGTCCTGCCATACATCAAGGGGGTTACTGACAAAATCGGCCGAATATTACGGAAACACGACATATCAACGGCATACAAACCTGACCATACCATCGGAGCAATACTAAGAAACCCAAAACAAAAAATTACTCTGGAAAACCAAGGAGTATACAGTGTAGCATGCGGATCGTGCAGCCTGACGTATGTGGGACAGACCAACAGAAGGATTTCAGCCAGGCTCGAGGAACATCCTTTAGCCATAAGAAACAAACAAACAACATCTGCTTTGTTTCAGCACCAACATCAGACAGGCCATAAAATTGATTTCGGCACTTGCAAACAAATAGCTAATATTCCTGATTTTAGGACTAGGATTATACGAGAGGCCATCGAAATAGAAAAGTCCGGACACCTCAATACGAGAGACGACGCTCTGCATTTATCCAACACGTGGAGAACGATAATCAAACAGCAGAGCGATGCGCAGCAGCCAACGGGGACATCGCAACTACGATCGGGCGAAATTAACAACGCGACAATTCGGGGGGCGGAGCCACCTCCCCCCACGCACAAGCAGCACCGTTACCATCTCCGGCGCAGAGTATAAATACCGCACGCACCGCCGGTAACCTCCCAGTGTTCGAAGTGTTTTCGGAGCGCGAGCATTGAAGATGCCAAGTGAGATTTTGGCGAAACGTCTGCAGGATTCCAGTCGGATGCAAGATTTTCAGGATTCCAGTCGGATGCAGGATTCCAGCCGGAGTTCAACGAGCGAACGGATGATATCACGGAATATAGTGTCATCACATTTTTCCATCCGTGAATCAATACGTGAGAATATATATATATATATATATATATATATATATATATATATATATATATATATATATATATATATATATATATATATATATATATATATATATATATATATATATATATATATATATATATATATATATATATATATATATATATATTTTAACTTTAACCAAAAGTTTATAGAGATTAGCCATTAAATAATCTTGTGTTGATTGCCATGAAAAGCCGGAAATATTTAAGGACTGATTTGAAAATAAACTTTTGCGAAAACTATCGCCAAATACTGTTATTGGGTTGGATAATTCCTCGTATCATTCAGCCCAAATTAGAAAAATTCAAAATACTTCTTCAAATAAAGAAGAAATTAAATAATTTCTGTACGAAAATGTTTTACACGAAAAACCCACTTCCGTGACTATTTTTTCGGCTAATGATACTGATACTTTATTATTACTATATTTAATATTTTGTATATAAATAGCATTTAATGAAATAGAAGGTCGTAAATTGTTACTTTGTACTAATTTTTTTAATGTACATGTTTTAGTAATTGCTTGGCGAAGAAGATTGAAAACACTTATATCCCGCTATAGGTAGATCAATTCCTAGGACGGTCCTGGATTGGTTACGGGTAAGGGTCTGCTCGGCAGTAATAAACAGTAGGCAAAGTTAATCACGGGGTCGGTTGTGAAAACACAATACGGTCATGGTATACAAACTTACTCTAACAAAACTAAAATGAATTTTGAATTAGAATATTTTCTAAAAATTTCTTATTTCATATTTGTGATGTTTTATTCTTTGTACTTATTTTTAAATAGGTTATAAAGACTCTAATAAAAATAAATAAAATTTAAAAGATGTTAAATATTTGTATCATATTTTTAATGGACTTTTTTTTTTTCCGAAAACAGCGCGTCGTTAGAAAAAAAATCATGGTGCCATGGGGTTTTAGGAAAAAGCAGCGGAGCGCCATTTTTTTTCCTAAAAAACAAAATTGCGCAATAATTTAGGAACCAAATGTCTTTGCATTTTTTTTTAAATTGAAACTGCAGTGAACTAAAGAGCAAACTTTTTTGTGTTCGACGAAAACAGCTGCTAAATCTCAGGAGAAAAAAAGGAAACAGGAATATTATCATTTTCTTTTTCTAAAACAAATATATTTAGCGAGTTAATGTTTAAAAATTTCACGTATAATTTACACCCCAATTAACCAAGAAAAGACGTTTTAAAGCAAGACCTTAGTATACGGTAACACACTTACCACATTTATTTCTTCGTCGTTTGATTGCTGCATGTCCGACTTGTCTTCCGATGAATCTGGCCTACTGGAAAATTACGTAAAAGTTCTAAACAGCAAACGAATGAACTTGCATAGTGGGACTTAATTTTATTATGTGCCAGAAATGTTTATTAGTAGATTTAAAACACAATATTTATGAAATACACTAACTAATAATTCGAATGCTAGTGTCATGTCAATAAGGTTAAACACGTAACCTAAAATATATAACGGACAGTAACTTTAAATATTTATTAAATGCCATAACACTACCATAGAATCCATAGTTGGAAGAGTTTTGGTTCGCTTAATTGGCTGACATTTCACGCATCGTGACGTCACAAGACGTCATATTTAAAGGGCTCCGGGTGAAGTGAGTCCCTATTTTTTTTTTCAAGACTTCGGCATGTCAGTCAAAAGGCAATTACGATCTTTAGCCACAAATTTTACGTAATAAATTTCCAATCCGATCCGTTAAAATGCAACGAAAATTATTTTCGGGCGGGAAACGAAAAAAAAAAAAACGAACAGGTGGATGAAATCGCGTGACTAAAAATACACAAACTATTAATTTATGCGCCAATACCGACGCAGACAAATCTTTCGAAATGCCGCAAAATCGTAAAAATATCCAAAAGACGCGAGCGGATTCGCATAAACACGCGATTACAATAACAGCGACAGAAAGAGAGAAATTATTACGTCCTTAATAAATTGAAGAACAATGAAATGAAGTTATAATATTTGTTATTTTACGAAGCGATGTTTACGGGACACACAAACGGTGGCTACTTTTCATTCCATTACGTATTTCTGAAAAGGAAAAAGATCAACGCGTACTCACGTTCAGTAATTTGTCCTAAGACAGTAAATTAACAATAACTTCTAAATTATATAGTACATAGTATAGTATATACTATGATGCACAGAAAAGCCCCAACTTCTCATAATTTCGATCTATTATCGTGTATAGATTTTTTATTACTAAAAAAACGTTTATTTCTTTTTTTACTTATTAGAAGAGTGACTTATAGAATCAATGTTTAAAATAACTGGTATTTCACCAAAGGTCAGCAGTGTTCACGTCTCTAAACACCCAGGAACATCGAGTACTGACATGTGACGTCATCATAGGCTTAGCACATCGGAATCGCTATCGATCAGACAAGGGCAACTAAGGAAAGGTTTTTTCTTTGTTGTTCCTTGATAAATAATTCACTAACAAATTACCAAGTTCCCGCTCAAGCCTATCCGACCAAACCGAGAAGGATGGTGCGTTAGTTTTACTGCGAAAATTTAAAGTGAAACCTAAATATTTCATTAGCCGAATTTCTAAAGAAAAAAAGACACTGCCGATAACATAACGACCTATTGAGTTCGTTTCAAGTCGCTGCCAAAGCAAATGTTTCGTTTTATAGCGTGGCTCGAAGTGTATATTTTTTAAGAAAGCAGAAAACTATAAATGGATGAGTATTGTTCAGTCAAATAAATTTGGTTAAAAAAATGTTTGTATTTTTATAAGTTAATATCTGAAAGGCGTTTATTTCAAACAAAAAACTCACCTTGTCTAAATCACCTTTGGATATCAAATGATTCGACTTAAATCCATAATTAAATTTTGCAATTTGGCGGAACGATAAGGCATAATCTATAAGTAATATCTTATCACAACGCAAATCCACTGGTTAATTTAAACAGGGTTCGTCTGTACAGCACAAGGATATGCGGCACATATGAAAATTATAAATAATTGTATTGGTCCTATAGAAGCGAAACATTTATTTATTTTTATTTTATTTGTTTTGTTGTGGTAAAGTAAATAATAAGGTTCAAATCGCAGTTTTATATGTAACGTATTTATTTTTTAACTTCCAATGGTGATTTTCACATGTACTTTAGTTTTTTGTATTCAGGAATCTAACACAATATGTTATTTATTAATATATTTGGGGCATGTCTCTTTATCAATGAATTATAAATATGTAATTACCATACTTTTATTTTTTTTATTTATTAAAATGCAATATTTTTATTTTGATTTTTTATTTAATTTTTTACTTTTGTTATATATATTTATTCTTACAAATGTTTACATAATAAAATAAATATTTTTACTACCAATGAAATGGTGAGTTTCAAAAGTATTTAAATTTTTTATATTCAGGGACACAAATAAAATACTGATAGTGCCTATCTCGTTTACCAACGAATGATACGTATTTATTTGCTGATTTATTGCATTGAAATTTTTTAATTGCATTTTCTGTAACTCGCACCTAACGCAGACGTTGTTTAATAAAAAAATTAACAAATTAAAAATCTTACGTTTTTTATTTGCCCCATTTGTGAAAACGTGAATTTCAAATAAATAAAGTATTTATTTATTACATTTTCATGGCTACTTTTTTCCAAATTTACATATTTTTAAGTAATAAAATATTTTTACTTTAATGTTTATTTTCTGCTCACACATATAATTTATTATTTATTTTATTTTTATATTTTTAATTTAATTTATCAAGGAATAATATTTATTTTATTTTTAATTTCATTCGTTGGAATTTGTAACTAACGCAGACGTTTAATAAAAATATAACAAATAAGCAGCATTTATAATATTTTATTAGCACTTTTTGTGAAAACGTATATTTCAAAAATGTAGCTCAATTTAGACAGAGTTTGTCCTTATAGTACATGCATGTTTAAGAGCGAAATATTTATTTCTTTTATTACTTTCTCATTTTTTTTTTTGGTTTTTGCAATTTCTCTGCGATATTAGTCGATGTTAAAAGCTGTAAAATAAATAATTGTTAAAAACGTTTTTTATTTATATTTTTTATGAGAAATAGAGTATCTGTTGTATTTTTTCTATATTTCCATATTTTTACGTAACAAAAGTATGTTTTTATTATATCATTTATTATTCTTTATATTTGTATGCATATCTCTTTAGCAAGAAATAATTAATATTTATTTACTACACTTAATGCAACGACCACTTGATAATTTATAATAATTTTCACCTAACGCAAAAGACGCAGTGTAATAAAAAAAAACAAATAAGCAGGATTTTTCAGGTTTCTAACATTTTTTATTTGCAATATCAATAAAAACGTATCTCATGTTTTATTTGCACTAAAACGTAGCTCAATTGTGCGAATCCTCTCGTTCATTTAAATAGAATTTGTCAGGCATCGCAAAATGTATACATGTTTATACGTTTTTGCAATTTATTTTGTCCTCGTCCTCTGCGACCTCACAATAAGGAGGGAATAATAAATATTTACTTCCCACTCTTAACATTACAACCACTTTTTTCCATTTAATGACTTTTTTCTATAACTTCCACCTAACGTAGAAGTTGTTTAATAACAAATAAGCAGAATTTCTTTTTACACTATCAGTGAAAACTTGAAGTTCAAAAATAAACCTTAATTTTTGTATCCGACAGTTATAACTTTTTTTGGAGTAGCTTTTTTATTCCGGCCCCTGTGCATTAAAAACCAATTTATATTTTTTATTTATGAAGTTTTTTTTATATACAGCGTCAACAACACATTAAATCATTTATTTCATCATATCACGTCAAACTTTTCCTGAAAGTTGATTACGCGAAATTCAAAATTTGTTTTTTTAAATTTTGCGATATGTATTAATGACTAAATAAAAAAAACGGCAAATCACAGAACCTACCTGTTCGGAGTCCTGTTGGATTCGGAAGAAATCGAAGAAGAACGATCCCGTTCCTGCTGTTCGGCCCATTTCGATTTCACCTCTTCCTGAACGCGCTGTTTCAGCGCCAAAACCCGCTGCCTTTCCTGCTCGATTACCTGCGATCCTGTGCGCGATAGCGTAAAAATTAACATACGAGGAGCGATCGCGGAGAAACCGAACAAACCCTACCTTGTTCGCACAAATGCAAATGTCGAATCCGTTCGATTTCTTTCAGCGACTCGATCGTTTTCTTCCCCAGAGATTGTCTACCCTCGATGATCGGCGCGTCTGACGTCACTTTGCTTATTCGGTCGATATCGTCCTGACTCGGGAATTTTTTAGCTAAAATTTGCAAATTAAAAAAAAATCATTTTCTTTGTGGATTCTGTGTGTTATAAGTAAGTTAACGCATGGTCTAAATTTAATAGTTCTAGAATTATTCGAATCTACGGTAAAAGCATTTTCTCAAAGTTGAAAAGTTTATATTTTTGTATATCTATATTTTCTACACATTTTTTTTTATTCAATAAGATTAAGGAGTAGGTGCTTGGCTTGGCTTTATTTTTTGTACAACGATACTGTTTTTTTTTTGCAATCCTTTTATTACCAAAAAATAAAGTAGGTATTAGGAAAACTAAAATTTCTCGGAAACTGACATATACGACAAACTATCTGAGAAAAGTTAAATAAAGCAATAATAAGAAACGCTTTAAAAAGTGGACAGCAACCCAATAGATTCTTTTTAACTTTTATCTATGTGGAAACTTCAAGTATTATGAAAAAGAAAAAGAAAAATTTAATTTATCCATTAACTAATAAGATTTTATTGTATTTTTTTAAGCATTTTTTTTGTAAGTAAAATGACGACTAAAAAAGCATTTACATTTTATCAGGTAACATAACGTAAAAGAAGACCGAAAATTATAATTAACAAAAACAACCAACAAATGACACGTAGAGATCAATATAAGAATGTAATCAAATTAATTCAAACAAATATTATTATTGAACTTGAAATACTTGCACTTGTTATGTGATGTGATGATTTTTTAATGATTTCTGTAGTAATTGGAAAATCATATGATCATATATGGCATATGTATATACAAGGTGTTTAAAGCACAACAATAAAATGTTACGGGAGAATTACTATTACAAAACCAAACTTTGGACAGACTCTTTTTATATCCATTTTTTTTTCTTTGAAGTCTTACGCAATGACATGAAAAAAAAATTGTTACACGGGTTTATTAGAACCTTTTTGCCTTATGCATACTTTTGGTACGCGCCCCGTATAATTCTAAATACTTTCAAAGTGTACGCTTTTAATAACCAAAGACACATTTTACGTTGATACTATTAATAGCGGAATGGCGAAAACTCACAAAAAAATTAGATGTACATGTATACAGCGTGTTTAAGAAAAGTTTCAAATATCACTTTGGAAGATACCAACAAAAAAAATTGCCGATTTCGTTTCTATTTTTTTCTGGAGTTACTGAAGTTCGCAAACAAATAGCAATTCTAATCTGCGTTTACATATTTTTTAACTTAACATTTTCTTTTTTTTATTGGTTACGGGAAAACATCATTTCATACAAAATTAAATTAAATCATAGAAAAAAACAAAAAAATAAAATTAAACAGTGCGTGAGCGGTCAATATAAAAAGAAAAATAGAGATTAAGATAAGCAAAGAAGATCTAAAGGTTGACGAGAGCATAAAAAGAATAAATGTCTATTACGAAAAATATTAATTTTCTCGAGAAGCTGTTATGACTGTAGCCTAAGTAGAGGGACAACTTGTTGCTTGGTCTTATTTGATCGATTAATTAGTCAACGAAGATTGAATTGCACAGCAACAAAAATAAGTTGGCATATGCTGAGCTTTGTGCAATAACAATTTCGCACTGTAACAATTTCACATTTCACATTTTTTCGAGCACAATAAATAACTTTTGCTGTACGACGCGTAATTGTATGAACACTGAACGCTTCCAAAAAAATTGTTGTTTGCAAACCAAATTTAAATTTGATTTCAGAAGAATCGAGAAGTTCAATTTGTTGATTAAAACAAATCTCAGGAAGTGGCGAGTTTTCCAATTAGTGAATTTTAATGAGAAAGTTTAGAAGCATTTTGAAGACAATAAGAGATAAATGAAAAAAATGTGTTGGAATTAATTGGTAGCGTTTTGATAACAGATGGCGCTAGTGGTATAGATTTTTTTTACTGCCACTTTCTGTACATAATTGTTTTTCAAAAAATTTTAATGAGAAAGTTTAGGACCATTTTGAAGACAATAAGAGATAAATGAAAAAAATGCGTTGGAATTAATTGGTAGCGTTTTGATAACAGATGGCGCTAGTGGTATAGATTTTTTTTACTGCCACTTTCTGTACATAATTGTTTTTCAAAAAATTTTAATGAGAAAGTTTAGGACCATTTTGAAGACAATAAGAGATAAATGAAAAAAATGCGTTGGAATTAATTGGTAGCGTTTTGATAACAGATGACGCTAGTGGTATAGATTTTTTTTACTGCCACTTTCTGTACATAATTGTTTTTCAAAAAATTTTAATGAGAAAGTTTAGGACCATTTTGAAGACAATAAGAGATAAATGAAAAAAATGCGTTGGAATTAATTGGTAGCGTTTTGATAACAGATGGCGCTAGTGGTATAGATTTTTTTTACTGCCACTTTCTGTACATAATTGTTTTTCAAAAAATTTTAATGAGAAAGTTTAGGACCATTTTGAAGACAATAAGAGATAAATGAAAAAAATGCGTTGGAATTAATTGGTAGCGTTTTGATAACAGATGGCGCTAGTGGTATAGATTTTTTTTACTGCCACTTTCTGTACATAATTGTTTTTCAAAAAATTTTAATGAGAAAGTTTAGGACCATTTTGAAGACAATAAGAGATAAATGAAAAAAATGCGTTGGAATTAATTGGTAGCGTTTTGATAACAGATGGCGCTAGTGGTATAGATTTTTTTTACTGCCACTTTCTGTACATAATTGTTTTTCAAAAAATTCTAATGAGAAAGTTTAGGAGCATTTTGAAGACAATAAGAGATAAATGAAAAAAATGCGTTGGAATTAATTGGTAGCGTTTTGATAACAGATGGCGCTAGTGGTATAGATTTTTTTTACTGCAACTTTCTGTACATAATTGTTTTTCAAAAAATTCTAATGAGAAAGTTTAGGACCATTTTGAAGACAATAAGAGATAAATGAAAAAAATGCGTTGGAATTAATTGGTAGCGTTTTGATAACAGATGACGCTAGTGGTATAGATTTTTTTTACTGCCACTTTCTGTACATAATTGTTTTTCAAAAAATTTTAATGAGAAAGTTTAGGACCATTTTGAAGACAATAAGAGATAAATGAAAAAAATGCGTTGGAATTAATTGGTAGCGTTTTGATAACAGATGACGCTAGTGGTATAGATTTTTTTTAATGCCACTTTCTGTACATAATTGTTTTTCAAAAAATTTTAATGAGAAAGTTTAGGACCATTTTGAAGACAATAAGAGATAAATGAAAAAAATGCGTTGGAATTAATTGGTAGCGTTTTGATAACAGATGGCGCTAGTGGTATAGATTTTTTTTACTGCTACTTTCTGTACATAATTGTTTTTCAAAAAATTTTAATGAGAAAGTTTAGGACCATTTTGAAGACAATAAGAGATAAATGAAAAAAATGCGTTGGAATTAATTGGTAGCGTTTTGATAACAGATGGCGCTAGTGGTATAGATTTTTTTTACTGCAACTTTCTGTACATAATTGTTTTTCAAAAAATTCTAATGAGAAAGTTTAGGACCATTTTGAAGACAATAAGAGATAAATGAAAAAAATGCGTTGGAATTAATTGGTAGCGTTTTGATAACAGATGACGCTAGTGGTATAGATTTTTTTTACTGCCACTTTCTGTACATAATTGTTTTTCAAAAAATTTTAATGAGAAAGTTTAGGACCATTTTGAAGACAATAAGAGATAAATGAAAAAAATGCGTTGGAATTAATTGGTAGCGTTTTGATAACAGATGACGCTAGTGGTATAGATTTTTTTTACTGCCACTTTCTGTACATAATTGTTTTTCAAAAAATTTTAATGAGAAAGTTTAGGACCATTTTGAAGACAATAAGAGATAAATGAAAAAAATGCGTTGGAATTAATTGGTAGCGTTTTGATAACAGATGGCGCTAGTGGTATAGATTTTTTTTACTGCCACTTTCTGTACATAATTGTTTTTCAAAAAATTCTAATGAGAAAGTTTAGGACCATTTTGAAGACAATAAGAGATAAATGAAAAAAATGCGTTGGAATTAATTGGTAGCGTTTTGATAACAGATGACGCTAGTGGTATAGATTTTTTTTACTGCCACTTTCTGTACATAATTGTTTTTCAAAAAATTTTAATGAGAAAGTTTAGGATCATTTTGAAGACAATAAGAGATAAATGAAAAAAATGCGTTGGAATTAATTGGTAGCGTTTTGATAACAGATGACGCTAGTGGTATAGATTTTTTTTACTGCCACTTTCTGTACATAATTGTTTTTCAAAAAATTTTAATGAGAAAGTTTAGGACCATTTTGAAGACAATAAGAGATAAATGAAAAAAATGCGTTGGAATTAATTGGTAGCGTTTTGATAACAGATGGCGCTAGTGGTATAGATTTTTTTTACTACAACTTTCTGTACATAATTGTTTTTCAAAAAATTCTAATGAGAAAGTTTAGGACCATTTTGAAGACAATAAGAGATAAATGAAAAAAATGCGTTGGAATTAATTGGTAGCGTTTTGATAACAGATGACGCTAGTGGTATAGATTTTTTTTACTGCCACTTTCTGTACATAATTGTTTTTCAAAAAATTTTAATGAGAAAGTTTAGGACCATTTTGAAGACAATAAGAGATAAATGAAAAAAATGCGTTGGAATTAATTGGTAGCGTTTTGATAACAGATGGCGCTAGTGGTATAGATTTTTTTTACTGCCACTTTCTGTACATAATTGTTTTTCAAAAAATTTTAATGAGAAAGTTTAGGACCATTTTGAAGACAATAAGAGATAAGTGAAAAAAATGTGTTGGAATTAATTGGTAGCGTTTTGATAACAGATGGCGCTAGTGGTATAGATTTTTTTTACTGCCACTTTCTGTACATAATTGATTTTCAAAAAATTTTAATGAGAAAGTTTAGGACCATTTTGAAGACAATAAGAGATAAATGAAAAAAATGCGTTGGAATTAATTGGTAGCGTTTTGATAACAGATGGCGCTAGTGGTATAGATTTTTTTTACTGCCACTTTCTGTACATAATTGTTTTTCAAAAAATTTTAATGAGAAAGTTTAGGACCATTTTGAAGACAATAAGAGATAAGTGAAAAAAATGTGTTGGAATTAATTGGTAGCGTTTTGATAACAGATGGCGCTAGTGGTATAGATTTTTTTTACTGCCACTTTCTGTACATAATTGTTTTTCAAAAAATTTTAATGAGAAAGTTTAGGACCATTTTGAAGACAATAAGAGATAAATGAAAAAAATGTGTTGGAATTAATTGGTAGCGTTTTGATAACAGATGGCGCTAGTGGTATAGATTTTTTTTACTGCCACTTTCTGTACATAATTGTTTTTCAAAAAATTCTAATGAGAAAGTTTAGGACCATTTTGAAGACAATAAGAGATAAGTGAAAAAAATGTGTTGGAATTAATTGGTAGCGTTTTGATAACAGATGGCGCTAGTGGTATAGATTTTTTTTACTGCCACTTTCTGTACATAATTGTTTTTCAAAAAATTTTAATGAGAAAGTTTAGGAGCATTTTGAAGACAATAAGAGATAAATGAAAAAAATGTGTTGGAATTAATTGGTAGCGTTTTGATAACAGACGACGCTAGTGGTATAGATTTTTTTTACTGCCACTTTCTGTACCATAATTGTTTTTCAAAAAATTTTAATGAGAAAGTTTAGGAGCATTTTGAAGACAATAAGAGATAAATGAAAAAAATGCGTTGGAATTAATTGGTAGCGTTTTGATAACAGATGGCGCTAGTGGTATAGATTTTTTTTACTGCCATTTTCTGTACATTATTTCAAAAAATTAAAGTTTTGCTCCATTGGCTTAAAATTGGTAGGGGTGCTGCAGAAAGTCATCGTATTTTGGTAGATGTTTGTGATGAACGTGCTCAGCAAAGTTGCAAAAAAAGGTTTGCGCATTTTAAAAGTAGTGATTTTGATTTAGAAGACGGCCCAAAAAATTCGAAGATTAGAACTTTTAAAACGTGCAAACCATTTTCTACTTTTGCTCGGCACGTTCATCATAAACATCTACCAAAATACGATGATTTTCTGCAGCACTTCTACCAATTTTAGGAACATCCACTACATAAGATTCTTTTGTAAACCCAGCCCGAAGTCTATTTACATCGAAAGTGAAAGTATCGCTCTACCTACCGGCGCACTCCAGAATCGTCTTCTCCTCGAACAGCTTCTCGTTGAACGACTGCGACATCATGTTGAAGTCGTTTTGCGTGCCGCCCCCCGCCTTGCCCTGATCGCCTACGATCAGAGAACAACTGAGGCCGCTCATTTTAGGAGACGAAATCCCGGAAAGGTCGCTGTCGCTGCCGCTCGACAAGTCCTTGTCGCTCTCGTGGTTGGAAAAGGCGAGCAGCTCGCCGTCGATAAACTTGAGCCGGTTCCTGATCTCCTCCAACCGCACCATGCACTCCATCTTCTGTTTTTCGATAGCCTTGTACTCCTTGTAGTTCGTATTCGACGTTTCGCGTCTCTGATCGTCCAAGTCTTGCAAATGGGAACGGACGTCATCCATCCGGTTGGATAGGTCGACGATTTCGCGTTGCAGCTCTTCGCGGGTCGCCAACCAATCGGCCTCCTCCTCCAAATGGTGAAATTCCAGGTCCTCGAACGTTTTCCTCTCGTTGTCGAGCTGCTCCTGCGCCTGGAGGTACTCCTCGAACGCGTCGTCGTACGCTTTGGTGCCTTTCCGGCACTCTTTCAGCTTGTCCTCGACCCTGTTCATGTTCTCCTGCGCGACCTGCAGCTTCTTCTTGCACTCCTTCTGATCTTCGTCCTGCTTCATCTGGCAATCTCGCATGCTCTCCTCGATCCTCTGCGCGCGTTTCGTGAGTTTTTGCTTTTTCGTGTCGATTTTCTGAAGCTCGAGCTGCTTGGACTTGTACTCGCCGTTTATGAGCGCCTTTTCCAATTCCAGCTGCGAGAAATCGAAAGTGAACAAAAAATAAGAAAAGATAATAACAAACATTTAAAATAGGACAAGAAAAAAGAGTAGAACCAAAAGAAATTTGAAAGAAACGAAAAAAAAAAAAAGAAAAAGTTTCATTTATTCAATATCGATTTTTGATGAAGAGTTTTTCTGTTCAGTAAAATGTTACCCACCAAAAAAACATTATAGTTTAGCAGTTAAATTGAGAAAAGAAATAAAACACGATTGAAACAAAATTGATTAAAATGACTGAAATACTATGAAAATACTAACACTTTCACAATATACACAAAAAAAAAGTAATTAAAACAGATGTTAAAAAAGGAACAAACACTTCATTTGAAAATAAGTAATTATTATGTTTTCATATTTTTAAAGCAAAATATTTCTTTGGAGTAAAATCGAAAAAAACTTTATATTTTAACGGCTAAGTTGAGGTAAAAATAATAAATCAAATATCATGAAAAAATAGTAATAACAGTAATAATAGTAATAATGAAGAAAAATAAAGTGAAGACAAACAAATTAAAAAAAAAATGTTATTATGCACTTCAAATTTATTCAACAAATTCATAAAGTCATATATAATAAAAAAAACAATTAATTGAATGATATGCTTGATAAACGAAAAAACAGAAAAATTTAATTTATCCATTAACCCTTAAAAATAAGATTTTATTCTGTTTATACATTTTTTAAGCAAAATTTTTCTTTTAAGTAAAATGTAGACAAAAAAAAACATTTATATTTTAACAGGTAAACAAAATGAAGGGCAAATAATTTACAAAAATAACCAACAAATGACACATCAATATAAGAATGTAATCAAAATAATTAAAAGAAATGTTATTATTGCATTTCAAATACTTTCTCAAATTATTTCTTCATTATTAACGTTTAAAAATAAGATATTGTTATGTAATGATGAATGATGAAAATTTTGTATTAATTAGATGATCATGAACATATTTCAACATATTTTTTATATAATATGGTTTTTCCTTCAGAGAGAATCTGCAATACGTCAGCTAAATGACAGTACTTTTATCTATAAATTTTTAACTTTTCGTGGCAATAAATGATTTAAAAATAAATAATTTCAATTTATATGACTCGAGCGCCATCTACCTTGAGATTTATGAAACGACTAGTGAATCATGTCGAAAATACGTCATCTGAGTACTGCCTGCAAACATGGAGTTGATGAAATAGTGCAAAGAGTTTATATGATTTTACAACTCAAATTAAGTTATGTAACTACCGTGGAACGGAAAATTGGACATTTGGTTCTCGTGGACGCTTTGAAGTTGTATGCGTAATTTTTTTTTAAAAAGTCTAGTTTAAAAATATTTCAAATTTTATAAAAGTAACGGTTCCAACTAAATAAAGATGAATGAAATGAAATAAAATGAATGAAAAATCATAAATTCAGCAATTAAATTTTTTCAGTTTCTCAGATTTTTATTAATAGTTTGCCATTTTCCGCCAACAAAAAAAAACATAAACACATTTTTAGTTTTCAACACAATTAAATAAGCTGACATTACCTCCCTGCGGAGTTCTTCCTCTTGAATCTCGATTTCCGCCATTTGTCTCTTAATTCTCGAGATGACGGCCAAAATTTCTTTCTTCTCCTTCTTGAGCTGACCAAACTTTTCCCTCTCCTCTACACTATTGCCAGCATCGAGCAAGTTGTACTCCTTAGCAGAATTGCTGTCGCGAGCGCCATCTTTCCGACCGTCGAAATACGGATCGATATCGTCCAGAGGGAATATAAATTTCGTGGGGGAAGTTTTGCGTGGTTCCAACTCGACCAGGTCCAGATTCTCTGGCATCACTTCCTTGAAATTGTGAAGATTCTGACGGAGCACAATCTCAGCTTCGCGCAGCAGTTTCTTCTCGGTTTCCAGCACGGCGAACTTACTTTCGACGATACTGTTGGACGCGTCCTTGAAGCCGCCGCCACTGCGACAAAAACCACGTCCACCGTTCGCCATTGAATTTTACGTTTTCGTTTAAAACCGGGTTTATCAACTCTACGCGGCAGGCTTAGCCTCGTCCCAAATGGGATAACTATGGAAAAATCCGTCAACCTTCGCCCACTATATTAATGACAGAAGAAATTTGGAGGGGATGAAAGTGGTTTCGGTCAATGTAGACGACCGTGGTGCCTGAGAACACTTCCTGTTTAAAGTTTAAACGCAACTTTATTTATTTATTTAATAAGTATTTTAAAATGGGGACCTTTAATGTTTTGAAAATTAATAAAGTTATCACGAAATTCAATTTCAATAACCACTAAATTCAAAAACACGACAACGCTGCGTTTAGAATGTAATTTTTAATGTTAGTCGATGAAACATTTAGATTTAAGCCTTACTTATTGGCAGCCACAAAAGTCTATATTAATAATCGTAAGTAATTGTCATACGTTAAGGTATTTATATTAAAAATTAATTATAAATTTAATTAGCTTTGAAATGAAAATATAAAGTACATTTCTACAAATCGAACTCTAGTTATGCTAGAACAATGCAAAAACAAACGAATAAAAAAAATATTAACGATGAATCTTAATACACGAAAAACAAAATACTTTTTTTCTTAATAAACAGAAGCGAGGTTTCACTCGTTTACAAAAAACCGTTTTTTTTTTTTGGCGAAATCTTCGGACGATTTAAATCTTTAAGGATCAAACTTTAACTATTTTTTTTAAGTCTTATATCACTAAATTAGCTGTCCAGGTAGTTTATGGGGCTTTCTTTTGAAATGACACCGACTCTTATATGATATTTATGTTTAGAAACCCAACTTAAGTCTCACTTATTTGCAGTGAGAAAAGTTTATTATTATAGTATTATATTATATTTTAAGAAACTTATATTTAAAATCAGTTATACATTCTCTTTGCTGGATAAATGAATGAATTTAGACAATTTTATTACCATATATATATATATATATATATATATATATATATATATATATATATATATATATATATATATATATATATATATATATATATATATATATATATATATATATATATAAGCGGCAAATTTTGTAAACTTCCAGTGTAAAATAATATAAATAATATAAAAAAAAATTATAGTAAAAAATATATTAATGCTGAATTGTAATACGGAAAAATGTTGTTTCAATTCTTGTTTCAATATTTTGCAGCTACTTTTGTTGCTAATATATCAAATAATAAACAATCAAATCAAATAATATAATAATAATCAACAATAAACATTTTCAAAGGATCAAACTTTAATTGACAAGTTGTCAAGAAATAAAACATATTTTGAAATAATTGGCTAGTTTTCAACCACTATTTTTATTAAAGTTATATATCATCTGAACGTTGCATTTAGAATGTAATTTGGAGTATTAGCTGCCGAAGTAGTTTACGGGGCTTTCTTTTGAAATGATCTCATGTTTATGTTTATAAACAGGGCTCGTTGTGAGAGAATTTTTAAGAAATTTATATAAATAATAAGTCATAAACTTCATTAACTTTGAAATGAAAATATAAAACATATTTTTACAAATAGAACTATAGTTATGCTGGATCAATGGAAAAAGAAACGAATTAATTGTAATAATTTTATTACCAAAATTACCTTTTTTATGTGGGAAATTTTATAAACTTTCAGTACATTAATAAAATATTAACGGAAAAAAATTATATTAAAAAAACATAATGAAAGCTGAATTTTTATTTCGATATTTGGTAAAAACTTTTGTTGCTAATAATTATATAAAAAAATAAACAGAAGTGAAGCCTGACCGATTAAGGAAACAAATTTTATTAGCTAAATTTTTGTGTGGATTCATCGAACTTTAATCGACAAGTTGTCAAGAAATAAAACATATTTTAATATAAACTGGTTAGTTTTCAACGACTATTCTCATACATCACTAATTTCTAAAAGATGGCAACGTTGTTGTGTTTATGGGGCTTTCTTTTGAAATAACATCGACTCTGTGTGATGTTTATGTTTATAAACCCGGCTTAAGCCTTACTTATTCATATATAAAATATACTTTTATAAGTTAAACTCCAATTATGCTGAATAAATGAAACAATTTTATTACCAATCACCTTTTTTTTTAAGTGAAAAATTTTGTAAGCTTCCAGTGGGATAATAAAATATTAATAAAAATTTATAATAAATAAATATTATATCAATCCTAAATTTTAATACGGAAAAAGGTTTTTTTCAATTCTTATTTTAATATTTCGCAGTTACTTTTGTTGCTAATAATTATATCAAATAATAAACAAAAGTGAGGCTTCACTCATTTACAAAAAATCTTTTTCTTTGCGAAATCTTTGTTTGGATTTAAATCCTTAAGGATCAAACTTTAACAAGTTGTCAAGAAGGAAATAAATTTTCAAAAAAAAAATTGAAGTTTGAAATCAAAGTCACATATAGAAAGTAATTTTGAGTGTTAGCTGCCGAAGTACTTTATGGGACTTTATTCTGATATGGCGTGGAAGATGATGTTGTCATGTTTATATTTATAAACCCGGCTTAAGACTTACTTATTCGCGGTGACGAAAGTTTTGATCCTCGTCCTCGGCGATGACGGAAACGAGCCAGAATTCCCCTGGGGTATGGAAATGTTCTCGTAAGGGCTAACGGAATTAGAGTGCTTAAACTGTCCGGTTTTGGGTTCAGTTTGTACTTGGACGCTCTCCTTGTGTATCGTTTTATGTGGGTTTTCATAATTGTGGTTACTGTGTTTCAACAATTCGCTATGCAGCAGTTCCAAGGGAGACGAAGGAGGTGTACTATACGACGGAGAAGGTGGCCCGAGGTGTCGCTTGTCTCTAGGCAACGAGCCGTTCGTTATGATCCTGCAAAGGATAATAGTGCCATAGAAATAAGTTGCTAGTAATGGGGAGGTGGAACAAACTTTTAAAAAACTGGGACTGTCTGGAAGAGGTGTTACTATACTTCCTTTTTACCATACTAAAAGTCTCCTGATGCACCTTTGACCAAAAGGCCTCAAAAATTTGTACCAAGCCTTTTAAACTTCTACAGATTATAACAAATTTGGTGATAGGTTACAGCCTCTATTTTTGAGTTTTCAAAACATTTTCAGAAAAAACGGAGGACTGGAAGGGTAGAGTAACAAAAATTAAGTTAGAAAACAATTTGTATCTCGCTGCGATTACTAAATTACCTGCGTGGTGACTGACGCCTTGGGCACCTAATAGTTTTAATAGTAATAGTAATTATTATTATTATTATTATTATTACTGTTAAAGAGAAATATTTGTGCCTTTGGAATAAAATTAGTTCTCTAGATTATGCGATAATTGATTTTTATTCTCGAACAAATGTAGCAACTAATTTTAAACTTTTGGAAATTCTTTGGCCTCAATTCTGCAACTAGTTTGCCATTTTTTAAATAGGTAAAAATTTAACTGGTATTAGAAATTGCAAAATAAAAATCGGATCTATTGCTAGATACATTTTTTAACTACGAATAGAATAACATATCCTTACGCCGGACAAGCATATTGTTTCAACCATAAATAAAATTCTCTACTATTTGACGCAATTGTTATATTTAGATATCAAAATAAACAAAGCAACAATCGGATAAATATTATTGTTTTCATTTTTACGTACCTGTTTGGGGTAACGGGTTTGGTCTTCTCGGATTGGGCGTGAGACTGTTTCTCATATTCGGCGCACATGTTCAAAATTTCTTCCAGCCTCTGCTGCTCCGCCTTTTCGATCCTCTGCTCGCTGATACGGTCTTTCTGGGCCTGGAAACAAAACAATCGTTCCAAATCCACGCCCGGCAAAACCGAGATTAATAACATTCGAATAAATATTGACTACGTGCCGGGAGGGGGGATAAAGATAAGATAAAAAAACGAGGAAATTACAAATATGGGTTACGACACGCTTTGCTTTTATTAGCGTTCTTTAATAAAAAGGAGCGACAAAGTCTGCGATAAACCTTAATTAACCCGCTAGCCATAGTGGCGTCCGCTTAAATAATGTTCATTTCGTTCAGGACAAATTAATTGTAATTTTATAATAAAAGTAAATCAATAACGTTGTACTATTTTTATTAATAACTTTTCAATATTAGCAACATTATTATTTGTCCAATAATGTCCATAACTGCTCAAACGATTTTTAAAGGATTTTAGGACGAGATTAACTAACTCCGTATTTATAATTCACACTTCTCGATTGTTTACCGAATTTATTAATTGTCAATTTCGACGTTTGACGATTTGGAGTTCAACATAACCTCATTTTCTGTTGTGTTTATTTTTTGAAGAAATTGTGTATTGTATTTTCAAACCAATTTGAAAGTTCTGTTAATTGAAAAACTGTAAACTTTCAAGGACACATTTTAAGCTTACAAATTAAGGAATTATATGCAATATCATCATGCATCCAAATCGTCCATATAAAAAACATCATTGCATAAATATCCTGAATTTGTTATTTGTGATATTTGTTACATGGTAACTTTAATAGCGTTTTGCAATCCTTTAATAAATTAGTTTTTTTCCCAACAATTATTGTTTTGTAGCAATTTTCTCCGAATAATTTCCAAAATTTTGAAAGATTTTATACAATTTTAAAAACATTGCACAGTTGCATGACATTTGGCAACCACAGTTAAGATTTCCCGATCTACCAAATAGGTAACGTAAACCTGAAAACATAACCTGAAAATTTACTGGGCTCACCTGGTTCCTTCTAAGTTCCGCTTCACGTTTCCTGTACTCCAAATCGGTAAATTCTTCCTGAGGGTAATCGGATAATTCGCCCACAGATCCGCTTCTCCGATGCTCGAAGTGAATGTTGTTCGACGCGGGGCTCGGCGTGACGCTCCGATTATACTGACTGGGGTTTCGATTGAAACTGGGCGACGGGACGTTGATTTTGTTGAAGACGTTCACGTTTTTGGCGGGCCTGCCGCTTAAGTCGTTGTGGTCGAAACTGACGTTCGGATTCTTCTTCGGTACGCACCCGTTTTCGTATATCATCACCCTGTTGTTTATCGTTTTCGTTTCACTCAGTTCCACGTTGACGTACTGAGGCTGACGCCTCGCAAAAATCGGCTGACCTTTGCTCAGAACAATCGCGACATATAGTTTATGCTTCCCGAAACCTGAAAGGTCTGTTTTACCTGGATTTTTGTTTTGTTCCTTGTCGTTATAGTTGAGATCCGCGTAATTTAAGGCACTCTGAGGCAAATTTTTCTTGAGACTGTTCAGGTCCTTTCCGAGAACGTCTTTGACGGGCATATTGACGGTTGGTACATTGGACGAGAAGACTTTCGGCGAATACGCCTTTTTCAAGTTTTGAGCGGCCAAATATTCGAATTTCGACACTTTGGTCATAATACTGGACGGGGCATCGTCGCCTGCAACATTGGGTTGATTAATAAGAAATTGAATGGTACACACAATGTTACTACTTACTATTTGACACAGGTTTCCAACTAACAGAATTTTACGAAAGTTCAAACTAAAAATATTCTTAAGATTCATCGCAAATTTTGAATTCTGTCAGTCGCGTACAAATTTCGTCGAACACTTGTTAAAAAAATATCAAGGTTAGGACTACTTTTCACTGCTCATACCACGGAATGAAACTTACAGTGCAGTAGGCTGCGAAATACATCGTCTGTCAAAAACAAAAACAGTTTCATCATTGAAGTTTTTCAATAATTTGTAGTAGTTTCAAGCAAAGTGCACCGCGATTTTAGCAAAAATTATGATTGATTGAATTGATTCTACATAGTAATGCAGGGTCGGGCTCAAAAGGTAAGTGCCAAAGTATTCCATGTATAATATCGAGTTTTGCGTGTGTATTTCTTTCCGAATAATAATTCTCAACATCAAAACGTATAGTAATCGCAACGGCAGATAAGTATGGATTTTATATTCGGATAAGCAGGGATAAGTATCCTTTTCCTTGCCCGAATGACGTTTGCAACGCAAAGTAGCGGGGGGGGTAAATACTCACTTCCGCTATCCGATAGGGATTCTCGGGGGCTCTTTCGGGGCGCCGTAGGCGGTTTTTTATTGAACTTGGGTTGATAAGGCACGTCGGCTGGTTCGAAAGTGATGGGAGCCATAGAAATTCGAGGGTTTGGAAGCACCGATTTCATTAGTTTCGCTTCTACCGGGTGGTTAAAGCGCATGTAATTCGAACGTCCGATGGTAAGCATGACACCTGAAAACGACACAAAGGCGTGCGTAGTTTTTTCTCCGGGAATTCGTGTAAATAAAAATCCTAAAAAAAGAAATAGCGAAAAATCAAAAACCCCTCTACACCCTTTTCCGGACACCCGTTTCCGGATGTCTTATATTCACATATTATTTGGATATTCACTTATTATTTGGAAGTTCATTCCACTCTACTAACATGTTAATACACGTGGAGGAGGAGACTCTTTCTCTATGAATGCATCCTTAAAGAATTTTAGTAAAGAAAATGTAAAACTAACCTCTCTACACAGAAAAAGGAGACGTACTTATTTTCAGCCAGACTAATGGATTAGAGGGATTTTATTCATTTTATTCTTTGCCGGACCCCGTGTTTGCAGTAATTTACAAATTTTCTGGATTCCTGGATGAACAGATAAGTAACTAGTAGCTACTAGTAAAGTTCTTAAATTATCACAGTTACATTTCCGATACTAAGAGAGTGAATATGACCCATCTAAATGGACCTCAGACAATTGAAATTTTAATTGTTACTGGATATGGAGACAAAACCAAGAAGTTGGTAATTTGTTTAACGCAAAATATCCCGGAAGACCGATTACAAGTTCCACAGGGAGTCGAATAGAGGAAAAATTTATAGAAGCGGGGAGTGTCACAGAAATCATGTTATTGGGTGTGGAAAATGGCCACCGTTCAATTCTTGGTAATATGTTAATCTGTTTAAAAACCCTTTCAAAATATTACTCAGGATAGTTTCATTATTTCTTACGTAATTCTAAATTTTAAATCATCTAAATTGGTTTTTCTTTATACAGTTTTGATTTTCAATATCCTTAGAGGAAAATCCAGTGGGGTAATATCTGGAGATCTCGCAGGTCATTCTATTAACCTCTTTCTACCAATTCACTGTCCGGGAAATACTTATCGTAGAGCAAACTAGGGCGGAGCATCATCCTGTTGAGACCAAATCGTCTATCTGGCATTTCAGGCTGATTTGGGTTTAGGAAAGCAACTGCGAAAGCAATTAAGTCATTTTAAAGAAATTGTAAATATCAGTCGAATAATTTTGTTGTTCAAAAATTCTTTGTGGATGTTGTGCAATACCTACAATTTTGTTTATTCACCGTACTATTTAAACAAAATGTGATTTCATCACTGAACAAAATCTGACAATGAAAACATTGATTCAAGCTGCACATCATAGTTTTACAAAATTGAAATGTGGTGTATCAGATCCGTGAAATCTTTGTGCAAATTGTTGTTATATGAAAAATTTTGAGTTTTTGAGCACTTTCCATTAGTGAAATTTCTTTAAATAATAAACAAATTGATCTAAAAAAAATTCCAATGTATGATGTGTGAACTATTCTCAACTTGATTGCACTTTAACCAAACCAAACCATCGGGGACTATTTGTACTCAATACCTTTACAATTCTGTTTATTTACCGTACCATTTAAGTTTTCAGCTTCCTCACTAAAGAATCTGAAGATAAAAACACGGATGTGAGTTAGTAAATACTTTACTTTTCTTTTTTTAATATACGTGAAGATGTTCATTGGCGAACATCATCATTAATTGAAATTATCCTCAACGTCTAATAAAATGTTTTTCTACTCCCGTCTGTAAAATACCTAATTACACACCGGATCCGAACCACTTCGGACATTTCCGGGATTTTACCGGCCGGATTTGGGAGCGATCGGATGTTTTCGGAGATATTTCCCACGCTTTGAATGTTGACGTTTGTCAATTCTGACGGTCATGTCAGAGAAATTTATTCGTGTCGTTTTGCGAAAATGTACCCAAAAACTAACGGTCGTAGAAAAAGTATAGTATGCAACACGTTCGGTAAACTTTTTAACTCACTCGTTTATTAAAAACTCGTGAGTCAAATGCCGTTTACCGCACTTGTTGCATAATATACTATTAATCTTGTGTTCTCATTAGTTTTTGGACATCCCGATCGTAGATGATCTTTTACAGACCCTGTTTCTGTACAGTAGATATTTTGCTTTATACAAATTACAAACTTTTTCCTCGGGTCTCGTTTTGTCTCCATTTTGCATAAAAATTCGAGTTTCAATTCTCAGAGTTTCATATATCACATTTCACTTTCTTTACTGAGAGAAATGTAACTGTGACAATTCAAGAACTTTTTGTGACAATTCAAGAACTTTACCCATACTAAGTACTTAACTACATAAAAAAAGGGTTACGCTACAAGAACAATAGATTTAACAAAAATGGTGTTCCATTTAAAAAAAAACTTAAGTATTTTAAATTAAAGATAAATGGACTTAAGTCACTTTTAAAATGAAGACCTCATATGTTGTATTTGATTGATGTTATGAGATAAATAGCTAAAGTAAAATTGGAAAAATGAATACCTTGCGATAATCTGGTAGGGCCGGTCACTTTAACCCCGTCGATGGACAGGTTTTCGGACAAGGGGTAGATGGTCACGACTCCCTCGCTATTTTCGATGTGACAGTGGAGAGGTAAGACTCCTGTACCCTGAACGGGAATGTCAACGCCCGATCCACAACCCAAGGTCACGCGACCTAAAAAGAAAATTCTACCGTTCTTATTTAATATAGGTAAAAAGATAATATTTTACGAACGAAATTTATTATATCAATTAACTAAGCGCATTACGTATAAATGTACCTGCAAACAATAAGCAATCAAGAGCGTTTAACTCTGACGTTAATCTTCTACGTGTGTTTCAAGCTAACTTTCATCGTAATAATTTCAAATTTAAACCTCTCCGCCATCGTGCCAATGATCGATTGAAATTCTAGACACATGATCGATTGAAATGCTCCGCTATGCTGATAATTTTAGCTAATTTAATAAGCAAATAAATAAATAAAAATAATATTTTAATACGTGAGTAGTACACACTTCACCTGCATTTGTTTACATGTTTAATTATCGAGATTTAGGGATTTTTTTGAAAAATGGTTTCGTCGACGACAGTGGTCGACATTTTCAAGAGGCACTATACTCAATTTATCAAGATAAAACTAATTCCTAAAAAAAACGGAAAGTGAAATTTTAAAATTCTTTTTACGTTCAAGCAGATATATATATATATATATATATATATATATATATATATATATATATATATATATATATATATATATATATATATATATATATATATATATATATATATATATATGATGACACTATATTCCGGGATATCATCCGTTCGCTCGTTGAACTCCGACTGGAATCCTGCAAATCCTGCATCCGACTGGAATCCTGCAGACGTTTCGCCAAAATCTCACTTGGCATCTTCAATGCTCGCGCTCCGAAAACACTTCGAACACTGAGCATTGAAGATGCCAAGTGAGATTTTGGCGAAACGTCTGCAGGATTCCAGTCGGATGCAGGATTTGCAGGATTCCAGTCGGAGTTCAACGAGCGAACGGATGATATCCCGGAGTATAGTGTCATCACATTTTTCCATCCGTGAATCAATACGTGAGAATATATATATATATATATATATATATATATATATATATATATATATATATATATATATATATATATATATATATATATATATATATATATATATATATATATATATATATATATATAAATCCAGAGTCGGCCCTTAGTCCGACTCTGGATTTCGTTTTAGTTAAATCTGTTTTATTAATTATAGCCCATGCAAAAATATTAAATACTGGTAATTTTCAACTGCCCGAATAACCTATACCTGGTGATCATTTATAATGCTCCTCACATTAACTTTTTTATTTAACGGGAAAAAAACGTCAAATACGAAAGTTGTTCAAAAAATAGTAAGCCATTTGCAAAATATATATTAGGGTGCTTGAAAAATTTTTTTAATTTCTTACCCTCTCAAATGTTTCTTTTTGATATAAAAAAAATACTCACCAAAGATGAGCCCTGTAGCTCAGCTCTAAGGGGTAGCTATTTTTATTTTAGTTTCCCATTTAATTAACATGGGAAAAATTATTATTTCATTAAAATTAAATTTACAAATAATGTTCGCGATTTTTCGCAAAAAAACAATTAATATTGTAAAAGTTGAGTCTTTAAGCTTTCCAGAACTGTATAACAAAGCATGATTATCATTAAATGAAGATTAATTGCAGCCATTTAAATATTACTAAATTTTGAACTTTTCAGAAATAGCTTCTAATAATTTTTTACCTATATAATTTCTCAAAACTTTTATCCTAATTAATAGTCAGTGTTTTATTTCTATGGATTTCAAATTTTAAAATGGTTTTCAGTACGTAGTGTAGGTGGCAGCACTAATTATATTAGATGATATGGTACAGTTGTCAAATTATCACTGTCTGCAACACATATATTAAGAAATTATTGTGTATTGTCATTCTTTAAAGCTCTCAGTAATTTCAATTATTATCAGTAAAATTTCTGAAAAGAAAATTTATTTGGTTAGTAAACGAAAATTACCAAGTACAAGAAAAGTTTTACGATTATTTTTCTACAAGCATACAGATTCTAACCTCACAATTCATTAGAGTCTCTGTCGAAACTTCTAAGTTTGCAGAAGTTAAAAAAATACTACGTCGATTTGACGTTTTCCATTCTTTATTTAAATATTTAGACTGAGCTTCTGTTAAAGAACGTGCCGAGTTATGATTAGATATATCAAACAAATGCTCATGGCTATTTTTAAATGTATGCTCCTTAATTTTTTGTTTCTGAGTTTTCTTTTTTTTATTTTATTTTTTTTTAAAGTTTTTTAAAGTTCCTCTCGATAAACTTTCATGATTTTAGTAATAGCGTTATATCGCTGGCAGACGGGGATACATAACATCACGAATCACTACATCAAATCACTGTCGAATTAATCTTCTTTTAATGATAATCATCATACTTTGTTATACGGTTTCGAAAAGTTTGAAAACTCAACTTTAACAATAGAAATTGTTTTTTTGAAAAAAAAAACGTGAACATTATACGTAAATTTAATTTTAGTGAAAAAAGAATTTTTCCCATGTTAATTAAATAGGAAACTAAAATAAAAATAGCGACTCCTTTGGTGAGGATTTTTTTTTTATAACAAAAAGAAACATTTGAGAGGGTAAGTAATGTCAAACTGTAAATACGCTATTTTAAACAAGACTTTTTCGACGTAATGCTTACCTAAATTTTCTTCAAAACGAATTAAAAAACTATATGCAAGAGCTCCCATTGAAACAACTAATGAACCTCGTCTTTCAACTAAACGGCGCTGACCCTCAGTGTCTAATATTTGTTAAAGACTATTTAAATCAAAGGATCAATGAATGGATTGGAAAAGAAATAATAAATTGGCCACCCAACAGTCCTGACTTGCCGCCGTTGCATTTTGATGGGGAACTTATCGTGTAAACAGAAATATAGAATATTCTCAATGTATCACTGCCGTTGTAAACAGATTACGGAGAACATACACTTAAAGGATATGTTAAGTACTCTTAAAATGAATATGTATATACAAAAAAACCTTGAATGATAACGTCACCCTGATTTGAGGTGGTCCGCTTTTTTTATTTTATAGAGGATTGAAGAAAAATATAGAAAGGTCAACTCTGTAGATTAATCATCATATCGTGAAGCAGTTATTCCAATCAATAGGTAATTGGATCTAATTATAAGAGATTTACACTGGCAATATAAAAATCAATGGAATAAATGCATATTTAACATTGTTCGCTCACCATTTCTACCTCTTGTGGAATGGTTTTTGAATCCACGCCTCGGCATCAAAACACAAACATAAAAAGAGACACTAACGGCTTCCGCTCGATGCCGAAAATATATGTATTGGTTTCCTCGCATCCAAAAATAAAAACCAATACGGGCATATTTTATCTTCCCTCCAAAAATAAAAATGCAAAACTTTGACAATTATCACATAAAAATAATTTTTAAAGATATTTTAATAGAGAAAATTACTACAATTAATAATTGATTCATTAAATAATAAAATATATTCTAAGATTTACATATGTTCAGGTCAATAACCGTTTTGTAATTCAAATAATGTTATTTTTCTATTTAAATAGTTAGGGTATTAAGATTTGGCCAAAAGTTCAAAATAACTGAGAAACAGGGTGTGCAAGTTACAAAGTCCTTTGCGATTCTTCTACCAATGTTTTTGCACGAAATATTTATATTGTTTTTTTTTTTTTACTTTTTTTTACTAACGAATTTCTGTTTTAATGGAAAATTTGCGGAAAACTATTTGCGTATAGAATTTTTAATGCATTTAGATTTGCCAGGGGAACATTTTTTCAAAATGTTTGTTCAAGATCAAAACTAATTTCCACTTGGACAGCCTGTACCTTGGTTAATATCAAATTTTTGGTTGTATTTGTTATTATTACTATAGCAAGGTGTACATTTAGTTAGTTGTTAGTTAAGGTATGAATAGATAAAACGGAAAATGGTACTGTCCCAGATAGTCCACAGTAATTAGTAATAGAATATTATAAAAAAAGGCTGGAAAGATCGGTTAAAACGTTTACCTGGCGGAATATGGTGCAGCGTCACCGAAGTGCTGAGCCTGTCGCCGCCCATACTGACCAAATGGGGCACGTCCGTCTGCAACTTGAGGGCCCGACCTGAACTGTCGCCCATATCGAAGGAGCCACCGGGTGGTCCACCGGCCAGAGTGATCCCCGACATACTTGGAAAGATAAAATTCCGGTTATTTATTTATTTATTGCTTTGGGATGGCTCCTAACCTAAATAGTGACCGTCAACTGTTGATTACTAAATATAACTAGTGTTGGTTGTTTTTTGGGAGTGAGGGTTTTATTTTACACATTTTTGCACGATTAACTCGTAACAGGTTTAATCTGGGCCTCGATAATTTCGTTCGAGCTTATAGCGTGGTGATGTAAGTCGCGAAATAAACAATAACATCCGGTTAGAACCCGCTTATTATTTAATATACGAAATAATGAAAACACACTTTTCTGCATATATTTTTTTATTCTTCATTCTTTTTACCTGAATTTAAAGAAAAACTTAACTAATGGCACGGAAGAAAATAAATTTCGATAGACGGGTTACACGTTGCAATTTTTTCATAAAACTTACAGTTTCCAGAAGAAAATGTAAAAAATGAAAAAAAAAGTGTAGAAAAATAATTCAGTCAGGTGCTAACCCACAGTTATCATTTAAACAATTACATTTTAAAAATAATGTATTAATAAACATTGTTGAGGCCTTAAGGAAAAAAATGTATAATTAAAAGCCGTCAGATTTTATTTATCTATTTTTTCCCTCTCATTATTCATTGCTTTAGATTTTACTTTTTTATTTGGAAACGGCAAGTATAATTAAAAAAAAAATGCAGGAAAAACATATTTTTTATGTCATTGCTTAAGTAAGTTAAAATTAAAATAGTAATTTTTCCGCCATATTTGTAGCGCAATCTCCTTAATGGTTGGCTTTTGTCTCAATTTTATATAAAAAAAACTACCTTTTATTTCAAACAACGAATCTCCCCCTTAAGTTTTGGAATTTGTTTTGAAACATCCTGTATATGAACTGCCATTTTCTTTCCTTGATTAAGGCGATTACTTAATTTGAAAGAACGTTTTAAGCGAGTTGCACATCATTTTTTATATATACCAAGCATATTCGTTAATTCACTACATACATTAGAACATTTTTTTTGACAATGTCAAATTTGAAATGATGTAATCTTGTTTTTATTTTTTTTATATATTGCCATTGTCGTATAGTTAGCTCGGCATTTTCGAAAAGCACTTAACCGAATAAATGGCATATCGTAGTCTCCGACAGCCAGGTGATTTCTATGAGTACAGTTTGCTCACACACCACACTCGATATAATAATCCAGATAAACCAAGAAAACACACCAAAAAGATTAAATGTGATAGTCGTAGTCCTCTTAAATATTTACACATTTTGCGTCACTCTTAAATTTGTTCCAAATCCCCAAAAAAGTGGGTTTTAAAAGTTAAATAATCGACCACGTATATGTAACAGTTGTCGCTATAATAAAAAAAAAATGTTTCTCTTTTCATTGCTTCTAAAAATGTTTTTCTTAAAATTACTCTTGATAAATCAATTTCTGTTGTTTTTTTGCACCGCAACTGGCACTGGGTATTTTAGTACAAAATTCACGGAAAAAACCTTTATTGGACGTAGTAACCTTGGCGGTTCCCAGTAAATATCGTCGTAAAATTCAAATATTTCGCAAAACGTGTAATAAATATTTTAGGAACTCTTAGTTTACATCCCAATAAAAAAAAAATAGGCACCATTACCGCCATCTTATTGATTGTCCGAACGGCGACGGTGTCCCACTTCAAACGCGTCCCGTCGTAAAATTTAAATAGTCAGCTCAAAAAGCACTTTTTTATGTTCTGTTGATGTCGCATTTGAATATTTATATCATATTAAAAAGACGAAGTCAAAAAGGCAAAATTTCGAAAACGGTATGGCATGGAACTCTTTCATCAACGGACATAATGACATGAAAATTGAACAGAGAATGGCCGCTAGGGGGCGCAACCTCTACTGTAAAATTAAAAAAAAAAACGAAAATATTCAAAATGAAGCTATATCAAAATTAGTTTTAGCGTAATCTACTCTAGATAAGGAAACTTTTTTGTTTGAACTATTTTTTTTTATTTCGTCAAATTAAGGGTGGGGGAAAGGGTTTAATATAATAACTTTTTTTTGGCTAATCAGATGGATGGATGGATGCTTGTATTTTTTTACGTTCTTTCATTCTAGCTTAAAATATTTATACCATTATATTTGAAACTTTCGAGAAAATAAAAAAAAAGCTGTTTCTAAACCAACATTTGACGCTTTCCCCACGAGATAGAAAAAAATAGTTCAAACAAAACAGTTTCCTTATTTAGAGTAGATTACGTTGAAACTAATTTTGATATAGGTTAATTTGGAATATTTTTGAGAAAAGTAGTTTTTTCTATTTTACAGTAGAGGTTACGCCCCCCAGCGGTCATTTTATGAACCTGAAAATAATTTACAGCTTTTTCTCTTAGCCAATTTACGTAAAAACATATGGCCGGCCTCCTTTTGTTAATGGTTGTTTTAGTCTATTTTGTATAGTATATTAAATATTTACAATATCCACAAAGAATCCTGTTCCGTTTTTTTCTTTTTGGTTACAATAACGGGCATGATACTGGTGAATTTTTATTTACTGACTGAAACTTAGCACAGGCGTACCAAGAATATTTGTATTGTAATTTTGTGTTATTTTAACGTCCAAGTGTTTGGACACACTGATAAAAATAGCCAGCCAACGTTATGCCTTATTTAACGTCGGCAACCGTATTTTATATTTAAACCATCGCCATAAAACGAAGGATTTCCTGTCTGCGGTGGTTCGTAGCGTTCTTCGTGAAAGGCGTGACATTTTTCATATCCGAGAGGACGATTTTCGAATTTCGAATTGTCACACTCGGTCGAATGTTACGCGTCCGTTATACGGGAGTTTCGAATTATGCAATAATGATATCACTGTCACTGTCGCGCGTGATGCATCGAAATTTCCAACGTTAACGGGGTCAACGCCATTGTGAATTCTAGGAATTAATTTACGAAGAATTATAACTATTGCCGAGTCGAATCTTTCCCATTTGCATTGCGGCGAGGCCGAATGATAAAACACGTAGGGAATGATGCATTAGAGCGAAATAGGTCGGGCAATTTTTCCGTATGGTAAAATGCTGAAGGTCGTGTTCCACCGAATCTAGTGAAACCACGCAAATCCTAACGCTCTTGTCCAAAAATTGAAGACCAATAATTAAAAAAAAACGTTAAATTCAAAACGTTATTTTTTTTTTTCACTTTCTCATTTTTATTTCTAAATTATCAAAATCCTGTATTAATAATTTAAGCAAATTACGTCTCGCTGTTACACTTAAGTTATTTACAGTATAATCTCAAATTTTAAAATACAAGTTAATTACAGTTGCTATATCAATCGAAATCCTAGTGAGACGCCCTTTACGTGATGAGATAACTTTTGTGTGATGTTATCTTTTATTTATTTGTTTTTATTATTTATTTATTTAACTTCTAAAGTACAGTAGAATCTCGATTATCCGGGCCAGCCGGATAATAAATATTAATAATAAACAATAAATATTAAGAGGATTTTGAAAAAATAAAAATATTTTTTATGTCCGTTTTGAAAATGTATGGATTTAGTTATTAGTTGATTAGTTATTTAATAATAAATTATTAATTTTTTTTCATAATGACTATTTAAAATAACTATTTAATAATAAAAAATAAATAAATAAAGAGGTTTTAAAATAGCATATATTTTTAATTTAATTTAATTAGTAAAATTATTTGGAAATCTTATAGTTTTGGATCCCATAGATTTGTCTCTTAGTATATCCTGTAGGGGTCTGTGAAGTAAGTGAAGTAATAGTAAAAAAGTAAACAAAAATTCTACAAAGATTGTGAAAAATGGTTAGGAATCTAATTATTATTCATTTATTATTTTAATTTTATTAACTGTTTTTCAAAATCAGTCAAATTCGTAAAATTATTAGAGAATTCATAAAATTCAGACACTTTTATGAATTCTCTAATAATTTTACATCATCATCATTTAGTCTTGTAGTGGACTGTGAAGACCTGTCAGTAAGAGTAACAAAAAATTCTACAAATATTGTGAAAAATGGCTACCTATATCACAATAAATTTGCATAATCGTTAGCAATATAATTATTAGGTCTTCATCAACATTGCAAAAATATCAGAATATAAAAAAAACCTCAGCCTTATTACCAGCGTTTGTTGCCAAATCGCAAGTTTTGGTCTATCGACAAGCAAACTAAGATCTTTTAAGAGTAAATCCTATATTCTTTTTTTATTTCGCTAATTGTTATTAGTTTTCTGGAATTTTATTTCGTAGCCAATTTAAGTAAATTATATTTTCATAAGTATCACAACCTGATAACCATGTAAATAGGGTAAAAATTTGGTTAATAGTACCTTTACTTTGTGAAATTTTGAATTGCATGCACTCAAAAATATTATTTTAGTGTCCGACACCTAAACGTTTTATGGTTGCTGCATTAACAACATTGCTCAGGTATGCTACTATAGACTCCAAGTGCTTTAGTAGGGGCAATATAAGCGATTACTAATGATAATTGATAAAAACACAAATTTCCTTTCTTTTTAAGAAAGCTGAATAATGTAAGTTTTGCATCTTAACTAGAAGTCGCCGAAAAGTACCAATAGCTGATTTGTTTAAGTAGCGTTTAAGATAATACTCATAACGCCGATTGCCTCATTTGCCCGTTCACGCCGTCAACTCCTCTAATAAAATGGAACGAGATAAATGCTGTTAGCACATGATACGGAGTTAATTGGCCATCTGGTACATATGTATAAAACGCCTATGTTCGTTTTTATACGCACAAGATCCGACGCTACGGTGGGCGTGATTATTGTATTTTTATCCCGAGTCTTCTCCCAATTTACAATTATTGCTTTTTTATCGGTTGTTTGCGCGGTTGTATGAGAAAAATATTTTATATAATATTGCAGTGATGTAGTGAAACAAAAAAAAACATTTTTCTACTCCCGTCTGTAAAATACCTAATTACCCACCGGTCTAGCGTGCGGGAAGCGTCACTTTACCACGTCAGTTTCGTTTCCCACGGATCCGAGCCACTGCGGACATTTCCGGGATTTTGCGGCACGGGTTTGAGAGTAATCGGATATTAGATATTTCCCACGCCCTGAACTGTGACTTTTGTTTAGTAAAAAAAGTATTCAAATAAACTTGTATAATATATTATTGTCTTATGAATTATCCTAGCCCTTTTTAATGAATAACTGAGTCATTCACTTATTGATAGCTATGGTGCGAAGTATTGCAAGAAAGTTGAAGAAGATTGTTGCCTCAAAATGACGAACCGTGTCGTCCTTTGTCACCACAGTGATATAAGATAGTGATACAACAAATCGACACCGCTTGTAAATTCCACTTAATCGCATTTGGACAAAACAAAATTTATTTTGACATCCAATATGCGGGTGTCAGCACATAGTTTATGCGTTTTGAGTAATAAAAATTAATGCCCATATTTTTAAAAGTTGAGTATTTTTTTCCTTGTGCATATCGAATGGTTCAGTTCAGCTGTTTCGGCAACTGTTTTAGCCAAAGCCGTAAGAGCGCGTGCTTCTATTGCTATTGATGTTTATGCCCCTCATTTAGCTCCGCCCCCGTCAAACAATATATAAGCAGGTACAGAGTAAAATGCGAGCCAGTTTCACTTATGCTCTGAAGAAGGCAAAATGATGATTGGGGAAATGTTAACAAGTTCGATTTAACAAGAATCTCCATCTCCATCCGCACCAATTACAGCTTGAAGTCATGGTCATGAAAGGAGTTATGAAATTTCCTTCAAGCGACAATTCTTCCCATTCTTTCTGAATACCTTGCCATGGCTCCTCGTTATTTTGAGACATTTGTGCCACTTCACCATTATCTCCCATATATTTTCGATTAGGTTTATGTCAGGACAGTTACTTCAAATTGTTCCACACTGGGCACCATAACATTCTTCTCTCGATCCTCTATACCACATCCCTTTCTTTGGTTCAAATTCATCCCCATACATTTACACTGATATAGCCTGCAGCTCTATCGTTGTCGATAAATCAGGGGTTGACAGGCTGGTTGTTTGGTCCGTACACTTTGATTTTACACCCTTTGAAAGACTGGAAGATCTTTTCATCAGAAAATATGACTCCATCCTGTTCTTGCGCCTAATCATTTTGAAACATTTATTCTTGTCTTCACCTTTAACTAATGGAAATACCCGTTGTTCTGCTTACATCAAAATATTGAACTACAACTGATAAGGAAGTTAGCAAGACGACGACATGGTTCTATAAGGGTCGTATCAGTTTTTTTTTATGAAACCAGCCAACACAATGTCCGAGACAATTTCATTGCAGTGAATTTACATCCCAGCCCTAAGCTTATACGACCTCGAAACTTCGAACCCTGCCCTAGTCACCGTAATGTAAATCGTATTTTAGTGGACACTATGGTCTGACGCCTTCGCAGCAAGTTAAAGAAAGCTCCTAGAAAATGACGAACTTCTGGGGTCAATTTAAAACCGAGAAAGTCACGTGACAACAAACCGAAGGCAACTGCAAACTGTCGACGCCGCGCAATGATAATTCTAGGTACGTCCGAAATAGAAAGAAAGCCTGCGGCGCCATCCCACGCCACAATTACTGCAACTTTGAAATATAACAAATGGACCAATAATAACTTTAACAAGGGGCAATGGAGGCCGTTAACCCTATTATATCAATTTAATGGAGAGGGCGTGTGGATGTCCTCAAAAACGTGCCATATCGAAAGTAGCGTAGATTGTTTAAAAATCAAAGAGTTTTTTTTAGTAAATAAGTTTGTCTCTTTGTATGCAGCTTCATTTTAAGTATTGACACTTTTCCCAAAGTCGTTGGTAAAATGACAGGACTCAAAATGTGCTCTTCGTTTTTTTTTTTATATAAACTACCCCATTTTCTTCTATTTATAGAGTAGTGAGGCAGAAATTGACAAGTACAGTGACGTAACGAATTCCGATTGCCAAAAAAATGTTTTTTTTGCAATATTTTTTGCGAATTTAATAACAGAGACAAACGGACAAAGAGATAACAAACAGTAGACGCGCGCACCATCCGGCAACGGCGCCCGGTAACCATCATTTGAATGCCCGCGGGAGGATATGCATTTTCTGCGTGCCGCTGAGGACGTTATTTCTCTGCGGCAACGTTGCCAAAACTCGCTCGTTTGAGGGAAAGCACGCTCGCTCTGTTATACAGAGCATTTCGTATCATATTTACAGATAATCATATAAAAGGGGACGTCTTTTTGCCAATTAAAAGAGGCACACTATACATTATTGCAAAATTTAATATTCAATCTAATTTGCACATTTTAATTGGTAACAAGTCAGTGAACCAATACTCAATTATTTTCTAACATGGTCGAGCCTCAAATGTAGAATACAAAAGTGTAGGGGGTTAAATCGGGTGACCTAGGTGGCCATTCCGTCTTTAGAGCAGGATATGATTCGCTTAAATCAATAGCTTCTCTGAGAAGACTCGCCATTTAGATTTCTCTCAATAAAAAATGCCGCACCAGGCGTTCAATTTTTGCGGTTGTTTGCATTTAATGCAAATGAACATTCGTCGGACTAGCTTGGGTTTATGTATGTTGTGGTTGGTGTTTTTTTTTGTGGCAACTGTTGCTGTTGTGTGGCAGTTGTTGCATTTAAACTGTCTAGCTGTGGCTTGCAGATAGATTGTTTTAATGGAATATAATTTCAATTCTATATTTATGATTTATACTATATCATTTTTACGGTTGGTAGGTAAATGTTGATATTCGATTAAAAACTGGGCTTAATTTTGGTGCGTTTTTTCATAATATTACTTTGGTTTTATTGATTGTTTTGATCATTTCCGTGAGCTTCTTCCAGGTGGGATTATCAACCTTCTGACAACTCATCACTTTGAAAGGGTTTAAGTGGCTGAAAAGCTTTATTAGGTTATGCTACCACAATTCATCTGTATATGAAGATCAAGACAAAAACAAATCTCTATGGTACGTGTTTACAATCACTCGAAAAAGCTCGGTAGTGTGGCAACGCGGCTCCGCACGGCCCGGTGCACAATTTAAACGGAATCTGCCCTCTGGCTCCCGGACTGAGAGTTTCGTATTCCGACTCATTACCGGGTGTTTTACTCACTTTATAGATATCTAATTCGGTTAAATCTCGCGAGAATAACAGCTCACAAATTTTTAAAACCGTCCTCTATCACTAAATAAAAATAACCTTATTCGTAATAATAGATTATATATAGAAAAATGAAAAATCTAAACTTAAAAGGAAACATTTGTATCATACTGTTGTAGTTTATTAAACAGGTTTTGAAAGGCAAAGCAGACATCATAGCTACACAATATCATGACAGCATTTTCAAAAAAAAAATTATGGAAGACTTCGCACGTGACGTGTTTTGCGCCATTTACATAATTATTAATTATTGTTAATCGCTGTCGAAGCAATGGAATGGCGGTCCAAGTGCTAATAATAGGACTTAATTAAACAACAAACAACCGACGACGTCTAAGTTGTAATGCACAAGTTTCAGAGTGTCGAGTGTTTGCCGCACACTTTAACTCGTAACTAAGAAAATGTTAAATTTAAAAAACTAACCTAATTTATGTTTTGAGCATCTAATTGCAAATTCGAGGCAGCATAAATACGTTTCAAAGTCATGTTTTAATTAACTCACGCACGCACACGACTTCACAATTTCCGTCGGCGTCCGTCGTACACACCACACAGCAACAAACCCGAACTGCCTCTGCTACAAAACGAAACGCAACGTAAACACCAGAAAAGCGAATCTCCTCGCACTTTTGTCGTAAATTTTTATGAACCCATCGTGGCAGGTCTCTGCAACTCCAGAACATTAAATAGTTGCCGTAGCTGTTGTCAGATGGCGCAGAAAGCAATTTTCCAGATTTAAGATTCTAACCACGATCTTTGAATAGACAATTATTTGGTATTTTGCAAAAAATGGGCCGACGTTATTATTGCGATTATTGCGACAAAACTTTCATCGACGTTTTAGAAGCTAGAAAAAAGCACCTGCAGAGCGCTCATCATATTAAAATGAGAAACTTGTATTACGAAGAGAATAGAGGTGATTAGGAAATTGTGTTTCTCGTGCCAAAGTGCTGCAGTGAGTAACTTATTGCAGATCCCGCCACAATATTAAGAGAAGAGCTTCTTAAGACACCGTGTCGGAAGTTTGCACAATACGGCACGTGCCAATTCGAGGGCAACTGCAAATATACTCACTATTCTCCGGAGCAATTGTGTGAGCTGAGGCAACAGGGTAAGTAACAGCTCATAACAAATTATTATTAATACTGTTTTAGTATCAGTATTGTGTTTTAGTTGAATACATGGAATTAATGAAGAGAAAAAAAGAGGAAGCATTGCCTGATATACCATCATTGGATTCCTGGGTAGAGAAATATGACAAAATAAGTGAAAAAGATGATGTTGTTCACACGCCTTGGAGCTACCCTGACGCATTGGAGTTCAGGCAGGATCTGCCACCCTCATTGGTCAAGTTCAAAGCAGAACATTTTCACGATGAGAATTTCGAAGAATGGGGCATGTGATTTAAAATTAAAAATGCATTTTTTGTATCCATTGTTGTTTATTATCACTTAAGGATTCAATACAAACGAAACTTAAACTCTAAATAAATATCGTTAATAACGATTACTTTTTTTATGGTAAAGATGCAGGTATATGAAAGGATCACAAGTTCATTTGTGTTTAGAACACGGGTTAATTGCAAAAATTATTTTTTTGGTATATATAATTGAACTGAAATCACTCCTCTCTCTATCTGTCTATTTTGAAGCGGTTTTGACTTCATCTGGCAGCTCCTTGCGTGTCATGTGACCCCGGAATGAAGCCTGGATTTTCGCAGCCGCCTTATTGAGTTCGGGATCGGTCAGATCTATGTTGTCGACATTCTCTGCATCATCCTGAGCAGTAAAAAGATTTTTTCACTTCTCTGTTAGTCAGTTAGGTTAATGGACCTCTGATTTATTACAAAAAAAAAAGAAATTGGAATTGGAAGCGTACCCTTAAACCCAGTTAAACCACAAGAGGTAGACAGAAACTTTTTATTTTAGGTCACACCCCGTATATACTTTTAATACTTGTTTTCTCCTTTCAAAAATCAATAACTTTGTTATATAAAATTTTGTAAAAATGCACTCCACAGTAAAATTATTTTTGGTATAATTTTTAAATTTAATTTTACCTTTTTAACCCTTTTTAATTTAACCTTTAAACACCTTGTGAGTGCTTTTTTCAAAATTATTTTTCTTGTATCGAAAAGTAGCCACAACTTTTTTTTTAAGTGATGCTACCTGTATCACGAACCTTTTGGTAAGTAACTTTTTTGGAATATATTTCCCTACACCTATCTTTAGACACTGGACACTAGTTTTTTGCAGAGTAATAACATCTGCGATGTACAGGGTGTTTGCAAAATCATTATTAGACAAAATTAAGAATCAGTAAAATATAACGCTATTTTTAATAAAAATTAGGTTTCCTTTGAAAAAAAAAAAAGAAAAAGCAACGTTATTCGAAATTTTAAAAAATATACGGAGTGGTATCAGAGAAGAGAAATTTGCCCAAAATTGGTGATATAGGTGTTTAACTTACTTCTCTTTGTTGATTGGTTTGATAATTTCCTTGAATTTTTTATTTGTTTTTTTTTTGTTTACCTATGGGATTTTGTAATTTGCTGCAGTGTAAGTAGTAATTTTTGCGATGTACAGGGTGTTTACAAAATCATGTTTTTACTGTATTTACATCAAGTTGCCAAAAATATATTAAGGCAGAAATTTCAATAAATAAATAAGTTTTTCGAAATGTAAGTAGTGTGCACAACAACAAAATCTACTCATAGCTTTTTGGTAAGTGTAAAATAACATAATTAATAAAAATTGACAGAATGGCAACCAAAAGTTTTGTTAACCGGATTGAAAAAGAAAAGATGAAATTTCTTTAATGGACATTGTAAAGCAATTTTAAGAAAGCTACTGAAGAACTTAAAGAAACCTTTAATAAAACAGTGTTTAATGGAAAATTTATAGAATGTATTTTTAACCCTAATCCTTATGAACATCATTTAAAACTAAACGTTTCTGAGACGTGATCATAATTAGCTTGTCAAGAAAACGGACGGATGTAAAATCTCGGGGTATGATAATTATCCGACGTCACAACGGTGGAGATTAAAAACTTTAAATCGTCTCCCGACATTTACCTGGTTTAACTTGTCTTCTTTGCTAGAACAGCTCACGTCTCCCTTCTTATCGATCTGTTTCCTCGACATGTGGCCCCTGAAGGATGCCTGGATCTTTGTCGCGGCATTACAAAGTTCTGAAACACACGTCACAGCGTTTGGCGTTAAAGATTTATAATATTAAAATATTTAAGGTTTTAAAAGTTGCTTTTGACAAGGGTAAATTTTTGAATTGACAGCAGCTAGTCTTTTGATGTGGGGTCTGTTTTAGAAGCCTGGACGAGATCAAAGCGATTCTAGATTGTTATTATACAAGGTTGATATGGTTTGGAGAAAAAATCGGTTTAGCTAATTTATAACCAAATGATTTTGTGGAGTACATAAAAATGATAAAACTACTAAAAAAGTCAAAACTAGCTGCGAAAATGTTTCCATGTTTAATGTTGCATGTAAATTGAAATTGCCTTTGAGTCTCTACATTTTTCAAATACTAGAATTTATATTTTACTTTGTTTTTAATTATAAGAAACATAAAATGCACAAATTTTCACAATTTATTCTTTATTTTGGAAGATATTTTCTTCATTTCCATTAAAAATGTCATTAAAAAAATCTAATTACGGGTTTTTTAAATCTATTTTTTGCGTAGATTAATATTCACTGGTTTTTTATACAGGGTGTCCAAATAGTGCGTCAAAATAATATATCTCATTTGTTGTTTGCTTTAGAAACGCACGTTATATACAAAAATTATAGATAAGACTAATAGAAACAGTTTAAAATTATTTTCGAATATACAGGGTGATTCACAGAATGTTTGAAAGTGCATTAGTGCCTTTTAAACACAATATAGGATTGATTTTGGGACTTTTTTATTTTATTTATTATTATTCCATTGAATACTCCTTCAACTTTATTAAGCATTCCCTATATACAAATTTAGTATTTTTTGAGATACACACATTTGGACTAACAAAACTCCGAAAATTTGTCAGATTTTGAGGAAAATATCGCAATAACTTAAAAATATTCACTGTTTTTTTATACAGGGTGTCCAAATAGTGCGTCAAAATAATATATCTCATTTGTTGTTTGCTTTAAAAAAGCACGTTATATACAAAAATTATAGATAAGACTAATAGAAACAGTTTAAAATTATTTTCGAATATACAGAGTGATTCACAGAATGTTTGAAAGTGCATTAGTGCCTTTTAAACACAATATAGGATTGATTTTGGGACTTTTTTATTTTATTTATTATTATTCCATTGAATACTCCTTCAACTTTATTAAGCATTCCCTATATACAAATATAGTATTTTTTGAGATATACACATTTGGACTAACAAAACTCCGAAAATTTGTCAGATTTTGAGGAAAATATCGCAATAAGTCAAAAATATTCACTGGTTTTTTATACAGGGTGTCCAAATAGTGCGTCATAATAATATATCTCATTTGTTGTTTGCTTTAGAAACGCACGTTATATACAAAAATTATAGATAAGACTAATAGAAACGATTAAAAATTATTTTCGATTATACAGGGTGATTCACAGAATGTTTGAAAGCAAATGTATATATTTTTAAAGAGATCCCGCTATATATTGGTACATTAGTGCCTTTTACACCCAATGTAGGATTGATTTTAGGACCTTCATTCAATTAAATACTCCTTGAACTTTATTAAGCATTCCCTATATCTAAATTTAGTATTTTTTGAGATATACACATTTGGACTAACAAAACTCCGAAAATTTGTCAGATTTTGAGGAAAATATCGCAATAAGTTAAAAATATTCACTGTTTTTTTATACAGGGTGTCCAAATAGTGCGTCAAAATAATATATCTCATTTGTTGTTTGCTTTAAAAAAGCACGTTATATACAAAAATTATAGATAAGACTAATAGAAACAGTTTAAAATTATTTTCGAATATACAGGGTGATTCACAGAATGTTTGAAAGTAAATGTATATATTTTTAAAGAGTGCCTTTTACACCCAATGTAGGATTGATTTTAGGACCTTCATTCAATTAAATACTCCTTCAACTTTATTAAGCATTCCCTATATCTAAATTTAGTATTTTTTGAGATATATACATTTGGACTAACAAAACAAAAATTTGTTAGATTTTGAAGAAAATATCGCAATAAGTCAAGAAAAATAAAAATAAATAGGTAATTCTTTAGTTTTGTGAGAAAAATTTCAAGACAAGTATAGGAGAAATGACTGTACTACTTTATAAACTTGTTGGCATAATAAGCTGTCGGAAATGGCTTCAAAAGTGTAGGGTAAACACAGGACATTTTTGAAGAAAATCCAATCTATAAATCCGAAAACACTCAGTATATTGGGCGATTGAGTATTAATGCACAATATACAATATACGTTTTATTCCCGACATATTTATAAATCACCCTGTATAATTAAAAATAATTTTAAATTGTTTCTTTTAGTCTCATCATTTTTTTTGCTAAAACAAATACTAAACGAGATTTATTCTTTTGACACACTGTTTGGACAGCCTGTATAGATTACTTGAGAATTGAGATATGGGACTTTTTTTGATATGGGGCAATTTTTTTACGTTATATATAGTTATCAAGTTTTTTTTTAAGTTCTTGGAAAATTATATTAACATTAAAAAAATGAAGAACTAATTATATTTTGAGTTTTGACACAAGGTTGTGGACAAAGACCGCAGTAAAAAATAGAAATTTAAACACCACGTTTGCGTGGACCTAAGAAAAGATTATTTCTCGAAAACGGAAAAAATCGTGTACCAAAAGATCCGCAAGCCTCGACGCGATTAAAAATGAAACGAAATGTACCGTGCGATATTATAAAATATAATAGGTGCCCTAAATTTGCAGCTACCGACTTCAAATTTAGCAGAGAAGTAGAAGTCGAGAGCCACATTTAAACCATTAAAGTTGGGCACGATCAAATACTGCAAAGTAGTTTTTAAAAATTTTTGATTTTTTCCTTTTTTGGGTTATTTTGGTTTTTGGAAAACAATTTTGTCTCCAAAACTGTTAATCCGATCGGCAAAATTCCTTGACCAACAGACGCGAAAGATCCAGTACTATAACTTTTGTTTTAGGCATTTTTTCGATTATCAAAATTCGTAGAAAATGTGGCTAATTGGTTCAAACGGTGTCATAGGCCGCATCGAGAGCTACAACTTTTGTATTTGTGGTTTTCGTCTATCACATACGCTGCTCGGGATATTTGAAAAAGTCCATATTGAAATCGCTATTTCGGGGGCTGTCAAGACGCGATGACCTCATTGATTATTACGGCGCACTGCATGGTTTCAGAAAAAACTTGTTTTCTCGAAAACCATTTACTATTTTCAAAACATTCTTGAACCAGGACGCTTGGAAAATCCAGGGCTATAACCTCTACTTCGAACAATGATTGTATCATATACAGGGTGTGTCGTTTATGGGCAAAAAATCTAAAATATCCTAAAAATTTCCGTTTTTGTGGGTTAATTATTGGCCGTTAAAGATGGGATAATTTTATTTGAACAGTATCGTAAGCCGTGTCGTGAGAGAGTTTCAGGTTTCGTCAATTATACCTGCTTCGCGTTGCGCGCCACGAACATATTTAATCTCAGTATCCGACAAAATAAATGAACTTTTTAATATAGAGCTCCAAAAACTTCGCATCCTAACCCTACAACGGGATACGTTATCAAGTCTTAAAATTTGGCACAGAAATGCGCCTTTTGACAAACAAACAAATTATGAGTTATGAAAATGTGGATGCCCAGGTAATCCTCAATAATAAAAATTAACGACTCCGATCCAATTACCGAACCAATATCTGATAGGGGTAAGTGGGTCGATCATTCATCGCCCCCCTTCCCGCCCCTTTTTTTTATTACCTAACATTTCTGCGGCCGTTTATTCCAATTTGTTAACGACGAGGGAAAAAAAAGAGGGGCTACGGGGGGGAAACGTAAACGGTTATTCGGCACATTAATCTTCCTTTATTCCTTAAAGCAGTAACTTTCTTTTTCGGAAAAGATATTAATGGAGTTCAATTGTGCCCTTTCGGCCCGTTTCGTTCGGTAAGAGGGATTAACTTTTGCGGGGCGTCTTCGCGACATCAGAATAATTATTTAAAAAAGTGTCTCCTTTTTATATAAAGAAAGATTCCCTTGGGATTTTCGTCTTTTGATTTTTTCTTGATTCGTCTTATGAGGTATCGGGGAAATTGCGATTGACACGAAGACGACTAAAATATCGAACAAATTCATTAAAAAATCAGACAATCGCATTTTTTGCAGTAAACAGACAATATACAGGGTGTTCCTTTTTTTAAAAATGAAACGGTATTTTTTCGAAAAATGGCAAAAACTACTGTCAGTTTTAGTGTTAAATTAATAAATAATATGTTTTTAAAATTGCTTAAATTGTCAAAACGAATACGAAAATAAAATTTCCAAAATTTTATTTTCCAATTGTTAAGTAATTTTCTTCGTAGAAAAGACATCTTTATTCGTTTAGGGAATTTCGATTTGAAGAGGTAAAATTAAAGTGAAATACAAAAAAAGCAGAGAAAATAGTTTCTTATACCTTATATCTTATAATCTTAAAAAAGTCCGTTTGTTGATTTCAAAAAATAAAAATAGGTATTTATTCGTACATCGGAATTTGTTTCTTATTTAAAGAGATGCTCAAAACTTACAATTATAGAATGAATGAAATGAATTCACAACGATTTCACGGATTTCGCATAAAACAGAGTTCACAGATTTCATGGTTTTCACAATGCTGGTACACCCGATATCGGTTTTTGCTAGAGCATCTGAATCCTTTATTTTGAACATCGCACACTGTTTTAAATAAGTGATGATTTTGATAAGAGTATCGAAGAAGGTAAAGAAACTTGCCTTATACTCCTTGATTATGGCTAAACCCCAATACTTCGCACTTAACTAATCACCCATTCACTTAATTCAGAGTTAATTGAGTCGGCGGAGTCAGAGAGTGTCTTTTGGTGATAAATTTTCACAATTTTCTGCAATTACATCGGGGGTATAATCATATAATTTCCCTGTTAGTACCCTCCAGTCGTTCTCTATCGGATTTCGGTCTGGAATAAATGATGGCTATTCTAATAA